ACATTAAAAAGTGTGTTTCAGAGGAATATGAAAAAACTACGTTTGCTTTTTTACATTCATTGAACATACTGATTAAATATTGAGCAAATTAATCATACAAAATGCAAAAAACTAATAATTATGGAAAATACTAGATCTTTCCTGTTTCAGCGTGATAGCGTCAAGTGTCTGACCTGAATACAATATTATAATAGATGATCCATATTTATTAACACTTGTCAGTTACAATGTATTGTTTTACTTATTAAGGTTAAATATCCGCTTGTTTGTTTTTACAGTACGGAAAAATAATATCGAAAATTGCTTAAAGTTTAGATAGTAACGTTATGATAACATTTGAAAACACGTTATTTTCATTATCTATTTGAAAGATAAAGAATTAGATTACAAACACAAAAGGCAATGTCATGGCTTAAAGATACGAAACCTCTAGGATACCACACGTACAAAAACACACTTATACAATAAACAAAAAAAAGATAACATGGGGACGTTCAATACTCATACATTCGATGAGAAATTGACAACGTCATGGCAAAAAATCGAATAGTTACGACAGAACAAACAGGTCAGCAAATCACTCATAAGGAAAGTTAATGTCAAAAACCCAAGGGTGCTCTCGGGTCAAATAATTCATTGTCATGCTCTTATCAAAACATTAAAACATATTTTTATGATTATTTCCGATTGAAATTTCATTCAAGATTGTGTTGTGCTATCAAACAAGAGCTTGTAAACGACGTTGCAAACTAATGTTTATTCTAAAGTACAACTACAATTATTTGAATGAAGGACGGCAGGGTTTCATATTAGAACATTTAGTGCTAGCTTTAATTCTCGTAACTGCAAACATTCTTCGACGGTTGAGTTTATATGAGTCTAAAAGATTGTGTAACAATACCGATAAATAGATGGAAAACAAAACACTAAAAAGTGTTGAATATCATCGCACAAAGATGGAAAAACTGAACAGATGATATAAATTATACAATAATTGCAAATATTTCGGCTCAACAAATGGCCTTCCTCAGTGTTAAAAGTTTGAACAATATCAATTTTGGGAAACAATCCTTTATCAAGAAATAATTGCTTTATTCTAAACAATAACTTTCAATTGAAGAGATCGTATGAGGAAATGCAAAAACCTGAAAGTCCTGGCAACTAAACTGGCTTCATAGAAATTTACAGTATGCATATGTTATGAATTTTCTTTTGTTTAACAATTTAGTTCTCACTAGCTGATAAACTACGCCAACAATAACGTTTGAACATGATGCAACTCATTGTCGTTGTTGAAATCACGAAAATCAATTCAATGTATGTGAATTCATGCATTACTACTTCATCGATGATCAAATCTCATAAATCGATTAGGAACACGAATCAAGGTAAAAGCAAAAATTGAGAGATACGCATAAACTCTGAAATTAGCGAGACTGGTGTGTCGACATTATAGGCGTCTCTGATATGTATGCACCACCCGTCATTCGAATCCACACTCAGGCAAAATGTCACAACTGCTAAAAATACAGAGTATGCAACTATTTTGGTAATAAAGATGACAGTAGTTACTTCTATGTTCAAATTTCAGAAATCGAAAAGAAATAAAATCAAGGTAACAACAAAAAAGTGAGAGAATCGAATGAACTTCAAAATATAAATTAGAAGATGTGGTATGAGCGCCAATGAGACAACTATCCATCCATGTCACAATGTGTAAAAAGTAAACAATTATAGGTTAAAGTACGGCATTCAACACAGAGCCTTGGCTCACACCGAACAGCAAGCTATAAAAGGCCACAAAATGACTAGTGTAAATCAATTCAAACATGAAAACCAACGGTCTAATCTATATAAAAAACGAGAAACGAGAAACACTTATGAACCACATCAACAAACGACAACCACTGAACAACAGGCTCCTGATTTAGAATAGGTGCATACAAATGCAGCGGCTTACACGTTTTAACTGGCGCCAACCTTCACCCTAACCTGAAACAGTAGTGTAACATTACAACATAAAAAATCACACTATGAAATATCAATTGAAAGGGTTCAAAAGACTGGAAGCGTCGACGATGTTAGTTTCCTGCTATAGATGCATCATCCGTCATGCGAACCTATGGTCACACTAAGTCAAAAAGTCACAATCGGGCACAGGAGACAATAGGTACAATAAAAGATAAGACGACTTTTATGGTACCTAAAGATCTAAGACTGCATACCATGTTGCTAGTAAATTGAGACACATACATGTCGTATCGGTCAACCTATTTGTGATTGGGACCGTAAAACTCGTAGCATTAATTTCAGTCGTTCTTCCTCTTTTGTTGGAGCAGTTGTCTTTTGTTAAGAGCACATCCCTGGCAATGAAGATCGTTTTAACGGCACCATAAGTATAAACTCCATAGACAACGTGTTTGTAATAAAACCTCTGTTAAAGTATTTTAAATTATAAAAATGCATGCTGAACTATGCAAATACAAGAAACATGCATATAAAATCATAGACATTAATATACTATAATTTGTATGTGTTTCACAACGATGACTGTTATTGCTCTAATTGAATAAGAATAATAAAAACAGAAAAATATTTGTGAATTGCGCATACATACTTTTTAAGATTAACATGTTTTTCTTGGTGAGAAACATTTCATCTTTTAATGAACCATCATTTAACACGTTGTAAGCATCTTTGAAAAAAAATGAATTGATATTTCATTTTATGGAAACGCATAAACATAGCGCCTTACGTTTCACGAGCCATTAGATGACGACCAGCAAATCTTTATTATTACAACAAAATTCCCACGAAAAAAATATGAGATGGCTTCTAAATTAGTCCTTCCCACCATTTAAACATCATTACCTATGACATCAATAAATTAAACATTGATAACACCTAAATGTGACTAGGGTATTAAAATATGGCTACCTTGACTCACCCCGTGTATTTCCGTCCTGAACATGGATAAAGTGTTTGCGTCTCTGGTAGAGTGTTGTCTCATAGCCAATCATACCACATTTTCTTTTTTATATCAAAAATAAAATAAAAATAAAAAGACTTACAGATAAAATATTTACAATTGAATCGTTTAATATGAACTGTATGTACACATTGATATGGAAGCATATTGTTCACTTTAATTCAATTTTGCATAAGCAAAAAAAAAACAGATCTTGTCAATATCGAAGAAATGGAAGGTGTTTACCTAAACATTGTTTCAAGTTTTATATCACAAATGCTATTCTGAGTTTTTCAACTTTTTCTCAATCTGTTGCTTAAAACGTGAAATACAGATAAGTGTCAACTAAATTCAATTCAATTTAGTCGAACGACTATAAAATATCACTTTGCAAAAACAATATTAAGGTACCAATTGTTTTTGCCCTGATGCGCATTTTAACAATTAATTTCTGAATTAAAGGCTTGCAGCCAAAATATTTGAAAGTTTAAAACCTAATTCAAACTTGAAAGAGCTGATAATTATATTTTTCATATAGAGTGAGAATTGAATATCGCTTTATATCAAGTCTCGTTATTCAATTTAAGTAGTAATTATAAACGAGACTTTAATTGGATATCGCGTGATGTCAACTCGAGTTATTTAATTTCATATTTATAAACGAGCCTTCGGCGAGTTTATTATCACTATTGGAATTAAATAACGAGATTCGATATCAAGTGATGTCCAATTCTCACGAGTTAAGCATATTTCTTTTATGGTCAACACTCTCATTGTGTTAAACTAAAAATTCGTTGATCTCTTCTTTTGCACCTACCAATATGACGCCATGTACAATGTTGCCGTGTCAAACTTTAACATCAGACATTTTAAAACTTTGTGTACGCGTCAAAATGTTATAGGATTTGACACAATGAATATTTTTAGGTGAATAGGGTGATAGTTCTGTATATAATGGAGGAAATCACATATGTCCGTTGTCATGGACGAAATGTACATTGTATTAACCTTTGAAAGTCATCAATGATCTGACGAATAGCTAATGGAAATGTCGTAATATCGTCTCATGATGATGGATAAGCCAATCATATTAAACCAGAGTTTGTATCACACTCCTTGCAGTGTGATACGAGAAATATCAGTCTTCGTGAAAACAATAGATACCAGGCCACAACCATAAGAGAAGTTGTACAGTGTTATACTTTCCTAGATACATTTATCTAGCTTATTTTGAATATGTAAAAAAGTGCCAATCCTACATTTGCAACTATGATTTTCCATTTTCTTTTCTAGAGGACTTCCCCTTTGACAGGTCTTATTATTAGTTTGTGGTATGGTGGCAACTATTCTTAAATAAATTATAATAATTCAAATATGTACAGAGAACAGGTAAAATATCTAAATTTTAATATACAAATGTATGTTTATTTTATTAACACATTTCGAAGGACACAGGACATAAAAAACAAAGGAACAAAAAGAGTAACATGCATGGAAATATTTTTAATAAGATGATCAAGAAACAATCATGTTAAAAAAATAATGAGACATATTCCGACAATTAATCAAACTTTTATTAAATCGCATCAGCTTGATTAAAAGACAAGTCTCAAAGGTTAGATTTTAAGAAAAATCCCCAAAAAACTATTTGAAATACAGACTTATATTTAGGTATAAACAGACGAAAGAAACGTATATCGATAGTGTCAATTATGAAATGAATTAGTTATAAAATAACATTGAAAATTAAAACAATTAATAAAATGTTACGGAGTCCTGTGTAAGTAAAATCGTCATATTTGGGTGTCCACTGTTATTTTAATTTCGTTATCAATTTAAGTATCACAGCTATTTTTCTTCGACCGCCACTCGGGATTCTATTAAAGATGAAACGTGCGTCCTTACCGGAATTTTAAGTCTAGTACAATACATATTAGAAGTGTTTTTTATAGTTTAAAATGAAAATTACCATACTAAAGAATACTATTATGTTCAGTTATCTAATTGACAACTGAATATAAAATAAAAAACACTCAACGGAAAATTTATTTTTTTAGCTGATACGCTGTACGTTTGAATACATGAAGTAGGTCATATAAATACTCATCTTGTTTTTAAATTTGGTCATCGCTAATGAAATAAGTTTGTTTCGCGCAAAAACAGCCCTTATAATGATTTGTGTACTTTAAAGACACGTCTTTCAATGCAATGGCATAGACAAAAAAGACGCAACACACTGCTTAAAAACGTGAATTACGAATGTCGTATGCTCTGTCTAATATATTTGCATTTTCATAACAATTATTTACAAAATTGTTGTATATTGCTCATCAGACAAGTCCTGTGTTTGTTGATTCGTACTGTTGTTAACTTGATGGTGAACTGTTAAATAACTTCGTTTTCTTTTCCTCTTATGTATCATCACTATTCCCGTTAGTGTTATAACAAATGTCACACATCCTGCACAAATTACATATACAAGTAAACCTGAAGAATATCCATCTACAAAGATATAAAGATATTTACACTGCAGTATACTGTAATTCAAAGTAAAATAATTAGCATACAATATAATATGATCAAATAAACAAATAAATCCATTACCGACCATGTCATACTCAGGTATAATAAATAAAGCACTACAGAAGAAGAATATTAAACATTATGATAATTCTAAATTTTCATAACAAGAGATATAAAATGAACTATCAAGATAATAAGTGACATGCAGCATAGCTTAAACATGTGAATTATTTGTACCTACTTGTTTTGTAACACTAGAATATCAGTCTGAATTTTTTTTTTTCTTATAAAACATTATGACAATACGGTATGAGTCTTATCTCATTGTTGAATGCCATGGATAGATGTCTCAGGGACAATTATACCATTTCTCCTTGTTTGATATTACGGATAAGTTTTCTGCGACTACGTTTTGTCATTTCGCTGACTCAACATCGATTAGAAATTTTTGTTTTACAAACTTAACACACTTACATGTGTCTGTTACTGTTCTAGGCCAAGAGGTCTGCAACCATACGGTGCTTTCCATCGTTATGTTTACAGAGATACCTGTTGATTGCGTAAAATGTGTACATTAGTTTAAGTGCATTTCCTCCCATGTATTTGATTTTTGTGTTCACTCTCGATATGTATAACATAACAAGCAACTTGATTGAAGCATACATCAAACCCATCAGTATTTAACATTTATTTTGATATGGCTGTATTGATGAGAGAGAAATGATTTGAGTTCAATTTCAATTCAATATTTTTCAAACAATTTGCTTGCAGACTATGATGAGCTGTTCATATATGTTCAGACCCTTCAGTTGTCGTTATTTACCTGTACAGAACATCAACATGCTTAATTGTCTTAAAAGCTACTGAACAGTACTGGATTATTTGCAAGAAAAATTATGTTTATCGTTCTTTGATTTTACAACAAAGATTATCTGAAAAAATCACTTAAAATCTTAAACTTTTCGGATGTGTAAGATTAAAATGACAGCATAAGACTGAAATTCATTAACTTTGGAGTTGGGCTCTATTTCCATACTTTATTTGATAATTAAACATGTTAAATCAACAGTTTGAAAAACTAGGCAGATGCATATACATGTCAGGTTAAACACGTTATTCGAATATTTAACATCCCAACAACAACTATATCAGAAATCCATATAGGTCGAATTGTTTTGGCCAAAGATGATGAGGTACTACCGACAGCCATAAACATTAAACATGGTTTTGGCTTTCATGCTTTCTGATAGGATGTCTTTTTTACGCGGGTGCAAGTTTTTGTTTTCTTCTTATTAATCTAAGAATATATTGTATTGCTGTCCACAAATTTCATTCATGATTTTTTTGTGCTATCACATTCCTAACTGGAAACGTCAAAGACTTTAATTATATATCAAAAGAGCTTCTGAAGAGTTAAAAGAGTCGTAGAACAAATCTCCTGAAAGCATACTCAGAAAATGATTGAAGAAGTTACATGTATGCCCCAACTTCATTATAACTACATGTCATTACCCATTTTACCCCTTGTTTATAAAAAATATTCAAACCCTTTAATGCGTGATTGTTGATTTTGCTTGAACGTTGTTGCCATACTGACAAATGGCAGAAGGAATCGGAAATTTTAGGACATATTGGATAAATTGTCATGAAGATGCTTTATGTAAAGGTTTGAATAGAATTTGTAAGTTATAATATTACATTCTGTACAGTGTCAGTCCTAGGGTCAATTGAAATTTAAATAAAAAATTGGCAGTCAACTTATAATAATAGGGGGAAATGTATCATAGTAACAATGAATAATGTCAATCCACCAACCATGAATATAGCTTATGGCATCATGCAATATAATGATTACAAATGTGTCTGCATGATCCAACTAATACCACTGTACCTACATATATACATATATAATTATGAAGTAGCTTAGCATTTAAATATTAAACTAGTTCATAGTTTACTTTTCGATAGCAATATTTCTATAATATATTTACTTTCATTAGAGGGGGATTCACTGGTACACCCTCTCACGTGATCACATCTACAATGAAATAATAAATATGTATGCAAAGCAAAATCACAAATTTCGTAGACGAAAACAATTTGATAAACAGTTGAATCGTTATATGTTTTCTTCGACGTTTGCTCTTTGTATTGCCCCTTGGCGTCGTCGACCTCTTTTGTACCATAGCGAATAGTTGTTTAACAAGTGTTTAATATTTGTAACGTTAAAATTTTAGACAAAATGTTTTGGAGACTAATGCAGGAAGTTTGTCATTCCAAAGGCATTGATTGCCTTAGCATTTATTTGATCCAACTTTTCGAAATGTTAGGGTTTTAGAACTCTTTAACCTTCTATTAGATTGCCTTTCTAACTATTTTGATTCGGGCGTAACCGAAGAATATTATGTAGACGAATCGCGCGCATAACATTGATATATCTGATGAACTATTACAACTATTCCCATGATTCGAATCTGTTGCAGGTTGATGTTTCATCCCCGAAGATATCACCACCCCAGCCGTCAGAAATTTTATGTTGAAATGAAATACCATTGATATGATTAATTATAAGTCTGGTATCTTTGATGAGTTATTATCATTACAAATCATCGAACTATCAACATGCCTTAATATATCAGTCAAATCCGGCTGTGGTATAGCACTATCCTTACACAAGGAAACCGATTTCATGTAAAAATTAACATCCGAAAATGCTGCAATCTTGTTCTTCTCGCATATTCGAATTACCGGTACTCAGCATATGTTTTATAACATCAACTAACGACAACAACTCATTTTTTTCTACAGACACACAGAAGGAATTTGGCAGGTTAAACATTTTTTTTAACGCTCAGGTTCCTTCTAACCTTGGACAGTAGTGTAGAAGCACAACAAACCAATTACCTTTAATAATCAGTTAACACTTTATAAACTGTATACAATCGAAGCGTCTTTATTTATTATTTTTCATGATCACAAATGCCTAAATCCAAATATTTGAAAGCTGATGTTGTTTAAGTACCACAACATGTGACGAGCTATATGATCTGAAAGGGAAAATTGATTCCTACTAATCAGATCGTTACTAAGCACAACACAATTAATTAAAAAATAACAAACGATAAAATTCCGGTTTGAGAGTAGCTGTAGCTTTAGAAATTCACAGCCCAATTTAGATAAACAAACAATGATTTCCAAACTGATTTTTCAATTTGTAGATCTCCAACGGGTTTTATGTTAAAATAAGAGGCGGAAAATGCCAACGGGGTATTTAAAACGTATGGTCGAAAAGGAGATGGCAACGCTATGTCATAAACAAAATGAAGACGTCGAAAAGACAAAAAAAACTCCTGAAAAAGAACTCCATATAAATCTGAAGACTAAGCAACAGAAACTCGACCAAACAGGTTGATCTCAGGTAATCCAGAAGAGTGCACAAATAGTGCGCTACAAGTGTAACCAGTCATGTTGCCCGTTGTCAATACACATTCGGCGATCAGGATAAGAAACCATTTTGCCCGTTGTCAATACACATTCGGCGATCAGGATAAGAAACGCAGGCAATCGAATATCGTACCCACTGAGATCCACTGAGATCTATATACTCCATACACAGGTGCAATTTGGATGTTGCTACATAGAAAATGAAAGAAGTGAAAAGAAGAAAAAAATAGAATAAAATACAAATGAAAGAAGGTTGACTCATAAGATCGACAGAAATCGCAAACACAAAAGACTAAAAACAGAAAGTACCGACGTACGAGAACTAGTTGTTACTAAAAGTCTGCTCAAAGCAAATAAAAACTCCGACGGAAACAGTTGAAGGTTTCCATACACAGTCCAAGAACAAAAATGAACAGTGCGTTATAAAGGATGTAGGATCATTGGTCAACATACATGTATCTTATCCTTCATATGAAATTTCAACGTTAATATTGATTTAACAAATTTGCTTTTTAAAAGGATCCTACAGAAGATACTGTTATCAAAAGTTTCGAGTATCAAATGATTTGTTAAGAAGAAAGTATTTTATTAATCTTTGAAGCATTTAGGTTTTTAAATATTTGGACACAAGGCTTCATGTTGACGGTTATTGCCCATGAATTGAAACAAGTAAAAACAATGTTTGTCCGTGTACTTGGAAAAGACTTCTGTGAAATGTACACGTGTTATTCCATATATATCTTAAGATAGATCAATCAGATGCTTCTGCAAAATCAAAGTGAAATTCATAAAATAAGGAAATCATGCATCCTATGATGTTAAGTGATAATTGGATAAATTTTAATACATATTTTTCTTCTATATACATACTTTTCTACTGTGCATTCACACTGATCTAAACATTTTGTTCCATATGTTTTCATCGAACATTGCTCACATGGAAAACCGGATTTTGATGTATAACCAACTGCACATTCTGTAAAGAAAATTGATCCGATTAGAATGAAAGAATCGAAACAGACTCAAGAACAAAGGATAGTTTATTCTTCTTGATTAAAGAATTTCAGAGCGTGCAATAAAACAAATAAATTAACGTGGCACTGTTTATACACTCCCTAACCCATAACAGAAAAAAAGACATTTTAGTTCTTACATACATATACCAAAATATTTCAATAATGCTTACTTTCTACGATTTATGTTATCAATGAAAAGCCGGTTGATGATGTCATTGTTACCTCTTCACCACTGTCCATTGGATGGATAGTTATCCAATGCACTAATATTCAACTAGAAACGGTATTGAACAAGTGGTACATAAAAAGTGCATTCAAAGATTTCCGTACGTACATTTCTTTATTGAAAATAATGTATGTATGAAATGTTTAAAGGCAAAAGTTTTGAATAAATCAATTTCCCGCATCTATCTAATATTTGATCAGTAAAATTTAATATCTTTTGTATACTGCGTTTTCATATAAATAAATCACTTAGATATGTGTATCAAAACTAGCGTTTTCCAACATTATGTTCAAATATATTTAGCCTTCGATAAGTTTCACCATTGAAAAAGCTTGCGATACGGTGTTCTATAGTTGTATATATCAATATCAATATCGTTTTGTTCATGTTGAAAATTTGTTGTCTGATTGGGAATCATACCAACTTTTCATTTTTTTTTTATTATTAATACTGGGCTTTAAATCAGCTTTCAATAACTTCAATTACCTTTACATCGATACTTTGTGCCCTTTTTGTAATTGTTTCTTTTTTAATGAAGTACCGATGTGATGAGTCGAAGCATTTTAGATTGATTTTTACAGGTTTATATATGATTTGCTTTTGATGTATACCCTCCAATTACAGCGAAATTAACATGCAAGTGTTTAATGTTACAATATAGTAGCAATCAATTTCTTTTTTTCTTTTAAATATTAACGGACGTTCTTCTAAGTCATGATTGGTTTTTTTTTTATAATTCCTGCTTAGTTGTTCTGAACAATTAACATGATTGCTTTAAATGACCCTGATTGTTGTTGAATCCGCAGGTCACTATGTCTATATGTGTAATTAGGTTTTTTTTTAGATTACATAAGAGATTAATTGATGTTACTTTGTTTAAGTAGATAACGATGTATATTGAGAAAAATCCTAGTGTTATCTTACCCTTTCATCAACGAGTAGATTGGCAAAAATGCTGTTCTCGCACAAAAAATTAAAGTATACATAAATCACCAAACATACATGTAATGGTATCGCAGTACCTTTATTGACAATTACAATATTAATGTGACTTAACTATCAACATGTAGCATACGGAAAACATTTGAAATAATATTAACAATATTAAAACTAAAACTTCATGATCAAAATTTGCTTCAATCAAACTAAATTGTGCGTTTATTGGGAGACTGGTAACTGTATAGTTATGGATCAGAGCTAATGGTCAATTTCAGTAAAAATCAGAAAAATACAATTTGATTACAGCACATTTACTTCCAAGGCAAGATTATCAATCATTACACATCAACATTTAATACAAAAATGTCATGGGGCAATGACTGACCTATACGGTATGGGTTTGGTAATTGCCTGACGGTGACATATTGTTTGATTCTGCTGGTTTGTTGTCTCATTCTACATCTCCTTGTTTTATATTGCTATTCATATTGTTATAGATGAAGATTTTCCTGTAGTACAGCTTTCAACATAAAATGTACTTATATAACCTCATATATGATCAAACCTTTTTATATTCCAATCAATCAAATATTTTCAATCGTAGAATATGTAGGCCTAGTAATTAATATCAATGAAAAATAATATCAATGGAATTTAAAACACATTTTTTTTTTATTAAAACGTAATTGCACGTCTCTTATATCGTTTAATTATTGTTTTGTTTTAACGCAGAATTACACATAGCTCAATTGACCAATACTTACCAATGCATTTGTTATTGTCTTGTTCGTAATTATCGCAGCAAACAGTAAGATTTACATAATGTTTTCCTCTGTGGATAACAAAGAACATTCAATATATTAGGGGAAAAAAGTTACATAAGATCAGTACAGCTTTACTTACCAATTTACCCAATGTTATATACTAGACACTAAAATGCTTGGTCGATAATATGGCAGATATTATATTAATATTCAGAACGGTGAAATGTTGATGCTCATGTCATTTTGGTCATGTACATGTGTAGTGTTTTGTTCTTAACATACATGATACCTTTGTTTACATTACGGTCATATCATAACGTGAAGAGACATTCTGCTGGCACAAGTGTCACTCTAACAAAATATCTTATTCTGCTTTTGCGTTTTTTCACTTTATCTGCGTACTTTTTTGTTCCTAGTCGAATATCTCCAGCCTGATTTTCATCAAGCGATGTTTACCGATTCAATTAACGTCCTCAATTACAAATTTATTTGATGACTGTGTAAGATCGTCAGAAACTACTAATTTGCTCTTTCCCATGATATCGTTATTCAATCATTTGTTAATAAAAATTAAAAGTAAAATTTTGCTCTTTGCTCTATACACACATAACTAGAACATCAATTTATTCTCCTAAGTCTTATGCCATATAATATCTCTTATTTATCCCTCTGGAGCACCTGAGATCAACCCCGGTTTTGCTGTGTTAGTTTATAGTTTGCTATGTATGTTGTGTTTTGTATACTGTTGTTCGTCATTTGGTCTTTTTTGGAATGGCGTTGTCAGTTTATCTTTTACTTATTAGTTTTAATTTCCCTTTTGGTATCTTTCGCCTTTCTTTAATTTTGGCCCAATCATTTTCCCTTGTGTTTAACCGAATGATAATGATGTCTCATACCTTGTGAAGTATCTTGTTTTGTGTTTTGTGTTGATATGAAACCGATAAAATGAAATGAGTATTATCCCTCAATTTAAATCTTTGGATTCTATAACGCATTTTTTTGCAAGGAATACGTAAAACTTGACAAGAATATCATTCTCGGTCTAAGCTATTGCAGCTTTTGTTGGCTATTTGGCTACGACACATTTAGAATGGAATATATTTTTTTTAAAAAGAAGTTTTCGTTTGGTTTACTATTTCATTTTTTGTTTTATAAAACCCTTTTAATTGTTTTGCAAACTGTTTTGATTCGGGAGCCATGATGGATATTGTAGATGTAACTAGGTTAATCGCACAAAGTGATAAGCTTTTACCCTGTACACGGTGTAACTGCTCATTATAAAGTTCTGAATTAAAAATCAAAGTATTCTTTAATGCAATAACTTAAAAAAGAGATGTATAAACTAACAGACGAACGGACAGTTACCCCAATGGACACAGTAAATATAATGTATTATGAGACGGGTATAACAATTAAAAAAAAAGGAAATAAAGTTAGGTTTATAATGTAATAAGATAAACTCAAGTAATAAATCATGATTCTGATAGCACAGATAAATTGATCTCGATTTCTCATAGACATTTGCAAGATGTTTTTCAGTCGTTGCAGTAAAACGTTAAACAGAATTAAGCTCAAACTAGTTATTTGACTCATCAATAATCGCGGGTTTTTTTTCTATGTGTTCATGAAATTCTGATTTACATAATTTGCTTACAAAAGAAACAGTGTCAATTATAAACAAAACACAAAATCAAATATGATATACTGACCCTAATTCTTCTTTTCGTATACATGTTCCATCATCTTTGATGCATGAAGTCTGTCTGATAATGATAAAAACAAAAATTGATGCAATGTGACACATAATTCTGACCTAGTTTCGACAAGGAAACATTTTACATTATTTGCCCTGATCATGCTGATGTAAATTGATTTATCATTGGCAGACATAAAAGATGTATAGACATTTAAACTTTGTTATGATTGAGTGTAATTGGGAGAAGTTGAATAGATATTATGTATATTGCGACTGTATTTCTTTTCTTTGTTTTTTTAATACTGATTATTAAAAAGTGGAAATCATATCAGAAGAAAAACAAACAAAAGACTTATTACATAAAATCGTGAATGAGAACTATTTCATTGGTAGAGCTATATTTTGAACAATGAATATGAGTTCGTCTATTAAATACGACAGAGTTAAGAACCATCTTTAGATACAAAAATCTTGTTGATAATCGCTCGAACGATTGCTTTCTTCGGTTGTGAAATTTTCAAATTGTTTTAACGATTTCTCTCAAAATTTGTACAATTCCTTAAGTGATTGTGGCCACATTAAATTTTTTTTTTTCAAAATTCCTTTGACCATAGATCTGAAACCTTTATTTGTTTAGAAGCGTTATTTTGATTCAAACTTGGTTTATGATAAGCAACCCCCCTACAGTGTATTTCCACCTCGTTGGTCTCAATGTACCGTTCTCGTCTATTTGTAAAGTCTAGGTTCGATGTTCGAACTGGTCAAACCGATGACTTGAAAATAACTATGTGTTGCTTCTCTGCGTATCACATAGCTTTAATGAGTAAGGGCAACGAATTGTGGGCTCACAATCAGAATAATATGTCATTGTAGGGTGACTTGTATGTTTTCCTATGAATCTTTACCCTATAAACTTGCAGGTTAAAAATCAGACTAATCGATCTAGTACAAAAATAAAAGGTTCATGTTCATACAATATATACATTGTTTTCGTATTGTATTTGATTTTGTTTTGATGAGATGTTGATTAATACGAGCATTTGATAAAACCTAAGTTTGAAAATATTTTATAGTGTCGAAGCATTTTACATCATGTCAATATCATCACAGACATTTCAATAACATCGGCATGGTATGCGTCTATACTAAGTTCGTCAAATATGATTACTGAAATAGGACTCCGTCGGTAAGTTTACAGATTGGTTGCCTATGTTGATGTCTTAATATATTATCTGCTTACCCTTCTGGAGCACCCGAGATCACCCCCAGTTTTTGGTGGGGTTCGTGTTGCTTAGTCTTTAGTTTTCTATGTTGTGTCATTTGTACTATTATTTGTCTCTTTGTCTTTTTATTTTTGGCCATTGCGTTGTCAGTTTGTTTTCGATCTATGAGTTTGACTGTCCCTCTGGTATCTTTCGTTCCTCTTTTAAACCACGAGAGTATAATTGTCGTAGGTCATGATACAACACATTGTAGCAAATCAATTTGCCTGGTGGTCGTACGACTTGTGCAGTGTCGTATAAATTTAGACATGATAACATCATACAATTAGACAAAAGGTATAGTACTACTGAAAAATATGCAATGATGAATTTTAATCTAAAAAACAGAACAGATCAGTGTGTTGCTAAATAAATTAAAATGAGTGTTTTTTGTCTTCTATTGTGGCTTGCGTGACATTTCAGTATACCGGATATTGTTTTACCGAACAGCGAAATAATTTCCGATGACTTGTTTAGTAGTTGTTTGTCATTCAGTCGTACATTGGTCTCCCAATTGGCTTTTCCTAGAGAAGTTTTCTTGTCATGACCTGGTACCTAAAGATTGGCAGGACTGAGGAAGTCATTTAAATGTTATATGCTTCTGCATGTAGAGTTTTTTGTTGTAGTCCAATAGCTCACATACATGTAGAATTTTGCAGCAGAAGCTAGCTGATTTACCTCTTCTCATAAAAACTCTAGAATTTGTAATGGTTTTCATTACAGTATCATTACAAATAAATGTTCTCCTGAAGACTAAACAAAAAACGGAAGAATGATTTTAAATCAGGCAACGGCATGAATAAGCACCTGTCTGTAATAAACCAGTTATCATTTATGGTTTAACAAAAAAAACACTCATCAAAGATTTAATTTCGTTTGTTAAACGCGCGTATCGTCTACGAAGATTCTTCAGTGACGCTCGAATCAGTTAAAAACTTAAAATACAAAGTTGAAAAGCATTGAGGGTCAACATTGCCGAACAGTTTTACCAAATAAAGCTAAGATAATCCATTCCTAGGGTAAAATATCCGTAATATTTCAAATAGTTCAAAGATTTTGCAACAGTTTATTTATGAATATGACAATATCAATAATAATTTATGTCAACACAGAAGTTCTGACTACTGGGCTGGTGACAAACGTTTTGAACAGACTCGTGTGTTGTTTTAATGTCTTTAAAATACATTAAAGAATATTAAAAAAACTAAATATAAACGACGTTCTCTTCAATTGCAATCACTTTATACCAAATGCTTTAATTTGTATGAACCAAAGATTTAAGAATTATCTACCATCATGGTTAAAAACAAAAACAATTTTTACCAAACAAGAGGAAGTATCTACGGGTTTTGTATATAAAATACGAATGCAAACTGTTTTGGCGCAAATCTTAACGTTCCTTTCTTGATAAAAAATCTGTTTTTATAGAAGTAGAATTTTTGTCGATCCGACAAAAAAAAATTGATAAACCTGCCCTATTTTCAAATAACACTGGATTAACCTAATAAATGCACAAGACTACACAGTTCTATTGATTAAGAAAACGTGTTTAGCAAAGGAACATGTAATGGAGGTAGACAGACAACTTCAAAGAATTGGGCTTAAAAAGGAGATCTTATAGAAGTTTTAGCGATTCATTCCTGGACCAAAATGAATAAAGCGAGACAGTTTAATTAAACTCATCATATCAGGATTACAATTTTGTAAGCCATGGGCAGATGGGCATCTACAAAAGACTCATCAGTTTCGCTCGAATAAACGATGAGATATAGGGCCTCACGCAACTTGAATTGGTAACGAAGTTACCAAACCTCACCTAAATGTACGTAAGGGTTAATGAGTCTAGCCCTTGCTTACATTTTTTTTACATACGATTATGAGATAGATTTGATCGTGAGTCTGTAGTAGAAGTCATATTCATCATTTAAGCTACATGAGATAAGTGCAGAAAATGATATTTTGCGGGAGAATAGTTCCCTGTTGACAAATGTGGTCAGGTGAGATGCATAGTGAAGGTACACGCCAGAATAAAACGTAGAAATGACAAAAACATATAACTTTTAAAAACATAAGAAACTGTAATAACAGGTATTTAAAATGAGTTGCATATATTATACCGTTTTGGAATAAATGATCAATTATTTATTCATCAAGCAATGGCATTTTAGTCGATAATTTAAAATATTTGCGAGGAATTTCAAAAAGCTCTATAATTACAATTACCCCTTCCGTGCCTCATTAATTATAACAATTAAAAAATTGATTATGGAATATATTTAGAAAAAGATTCTTTCAGGCAAATGAAATGAGCACAAGTCGAGAATTGAAGTAAATTCAAAAAGTTATTTTTTACTTGTCGCATTTACGAACAAGAAGGGACGTGACGTGAGTATACATTCTTGCATAACTAATGAGCTTTGGTTAACAGATGACAAAAATAGGATTTTTGCTCTCAATAACAATCGATAGCTATGATTAGTGTCCTGAAGATGAATTAAACTGATTTATAAAGTATCTACATTTTTAGGGCCTTAAAAAAATCAAGACTTTCGTAATTTAAAGGCATACGATACAGTTACAGGGAAGATAATGATGTTTGTTGCTAACGTAAAATGTAATTTTTCGCGACGTCAAGCTATGAAATATCTGGAAAAGATGCATTTGTTCGACTGATTTTAATCATTAGCTTGAAAGCGAGTACATTGACCACTCTTTTTAAAACATGATATTTGGTTTGATTATGTACGATGATTATTTGTACCAATTTTTAAGAAAAAAATCACCGATGGACATTTTTTAAATAAGATTGATTATACAGCAAACAATGACGGTTTTTTTTTCTAAAATCATGAAAATTTGATAAAAACGGATTATTTCCAAAGAATTCTTACACAAATTTAGAGCATACTTATGTAAAGAAGATTTGTCTTGTGTTTTTACAAAAATCCTCTTGTGTTTTTCTTTTGAAACAAAATATAGGTATGTCTATCCAACAGATAGAAATGTCCAAGAAACCGCAATTTTGAGTTAATGTCTAAATTTCTTAGCCCATTTATCTCTAGAAGTAGCCCATGAAGGTATATTTTTTATTGCATATTTGAATTTACTTGGTGAAAAAAAGCTAATAATATTATGCAAATGTTCGTAAAAATATCACTGTGGGATCAAAACTGTATCGTATGCCATACTCACATGCCCTTATTGTTAACTGTATTGAACGTCAAACGAATTTACATTGACTATACAGTTTGAGGAGAAGTAACAACACTGATAACTTGATAGTCATACATTTATTTATTTGATATTTTATTTTCTAGATGTTAGATGGTATTTCTACAATGATTGCTTATATACAACATACAGCTGATATATAAAAAAATAAAACATATCGATAATGCATATTATTCTATATGTTGTTGATATTCTTTATGATTTTCCAATATTCTATGGGAATTTACAACGAAAACGACAGGACAGACTGGCTCAAAACGTTTGCATCATATTTATCTTTGTTTGTACGTATATACATATGCGTATATGTAGACTGTGATTTATTTAAACGTAAACACATATAATATTTTTAAATCTTTGCAATTGTTTTAGTTTCTCTCAATCACACTTAAAATATTTCCATGGCGATCTTAACTTTTTTGTTTTCTTTTAGTCTGTTCGGTTTAAGAACTCTTCTTAAGTACGGCATATGTTCAACCTTGTAATATAAACATACAAAAAAACGAGGTTATATGCCTATTGAAAAGCGTTGTATGGGGTCAATGTGTGATAGATAATTTTGAAGTCCATTGTTCTCATGTGATATTTCCAGACATATATCCTTATTCGTCTGGTTGTTTCTATTAGGGAAATATTTTTTAATAGAATATGGATTTTATATTCAGTTAATTATTTCCTTGATTGTGCATCGAACATTTCAAAATTAATATAACATGGTATACTAAAAGACGAAATACAATTTATATATGAATATATAAAGTTTTGCTGTTTTGTCTGTTTAGAGACTGAAGGACATTTCTGTTAAACAAAGGTTATCTCAGTTAAAATTTCTAAATTGTAGTTTTTTTGTTCTCTTGTTAACATATGTGAAGTAAAATCTTGGGACTTTTTCTTTGCTCTTTTTTTCATAATCATGAGCATTAATTATAAAAACGAGATTTTTACAACATGGTATGCCAACGGATGTTTATTCAGCTTCTCGCCAATTTCGATCCTTATATTAGATGTAGAAATGGATAACTTTTAACTCGTATTATGTTGTGCTTCTGCAGAAAAATGAAAACAATACTTTATAAATTTCAATCGTCCGAAGCGCAATTCAGGAGTTAACGAAGAGTTTCTTTTGTTGCTATCTCCTGGCATACACGTATACAATGTAAAGGATAAACTACGTGGTCGTTTTATTTATTATATCTTATTGGAAACTTTTGTATAGGTGCTGGTATATTCATGGGAAGAGCGCTTACATTGTGCACCCAGTCTCACCCCTGATTGCCATTCCTTTAAGTTTTGTTTTTATCTAGATTTGTAAATGTAAAATGGCTTTACGAGATTCGAACATATTTAATCAACTTTCGATTGTAAACTTTTTTAGAAAGTGACATATAATATTCACCGTGTGTACAAATGCCAATAAGTGCACCATTAAGGTAACTACTCTTTAATATGTTAATATATGTGCCATAATCTAAAATAAATCCCTTTCTAAGATTTTTAATAACATAAGAAATACAATCGTACACTGGTTAAGAAAATATAAATAATTACAGATGCATAGTAACTACCCAAATGGATTATTATTTAATGTGTAAATATATAATTCCGTGTTCAATAGTTTACATTCATCTTAATACTTCATGACCACTGCAACATACCTTGCCAAATGATATAAAGGGTAATAGTATGTACATGTATGTACAGAGCAAATGTTTATTCGACAAGGGCATTTGACATGAATATACTAAAAATCATGGTTGTGTCGCCCGTTTAGATAAAATATATGACTAAATTTAATCAAACTTTTTTTTTTCTGTATACGTGGATTATTTCTTTCCATCAAGACATCCTACACGCAGAAATGATCCTTTACTATTTCAATAGCGTGTACGCTATACAGTGTGGACGATTTCAACGTATTCCGTGTTATCCTGCGAACACGGATTCGATTTAGATTGTTTTGAAAATGTTCGAGTGTTTTTGTATTTATCTACATTATCTGCTTCTGTTCTTTTGATAAATAAAATTTCAGAATAATTAAGGGAATGACATTTTTTTTTCAAAGATGCTTTTCTCATATTGTTTTCTTTTCGTTCATCAGATTCCTCTGTATATTGCTCAAGTCTTTCAGTTGTATCTGCATTGATGATTATTTCTGTTTCACCTCTTCCTATAAAACTGTATGGGCGATTTTCAATATTTTGAACGATTATTTGATATGGATTAAGATATTGTTCTTCGGAGTTTGATATACTATTTTTATCTGAGCTTGTCGAATCATTGGAAGATTTTTCAACATTAATATCATTTAGATATCGTTGTTGATCAGGATCTGGAAGTGTAATGTCATCAATTTCCTCGTAGATGCTTTCGATTCTGATTTCTGTCGGATGTTGAATTGTTTCATTATGAGCATGCCTATTTAGAATAGTTCTTCTTTTCTTGTGTCGTTTGTAGGAAATTATTCCAGCTAAGACTATGCCGAATATACAACAACACCCAAGGCACATAATATATACTGCATTATTTACAAATATATCTGAAAATATAATTGACACGTACCGTTCAGCATTTATTTTGATAAAATTAACGGTACCAATATCACAGCATCAGTCCAAAAATTTAATACAAATAATCAAGAGCAAATAAAAACAAAATAACCTGAAAGGAATCAGAGCTATTCCTTAAGAAAGTGCATTCCTTAATCTGAAATGTATAGAAAATTGTTTAAATAAACCAATATTCGTATTGGCATGTCTGTACCGACGTACTTTCTACTAGCCTGGGAAAATTTTTAAATACTAATAGTTCACCATCAGAGGTATTTAGCTAGTGGTTGTAATAACATTAACGATACCAAATGAACAGCGCCAGATGTAATTAATTAACTCTCAAGTCCCATTTTTAGCATTCATGTTGCAAATAGCACACATTAAACTGCTTACTTTTCAAGAGCATTCTAGTTCACGTTCAACATGTTCAATTGTACTTTATCTTCATCATTATGTTATAATTTCTGGACTATTGATTTTTATCGTTGTTTTTTTCGTATTGTAAAACTATTTATGTTTTTAAAATACCGTTTTAACAAGAGTGTTAATCACTTGATGAAATTCTAATCTGACATTTTAAATTTTATTTTGTGTTTCGTATTTTGTTTGCATGAAAAGTTACTTTACTATTTCAATAGCGTGTACGCTATACAGTGTGGACGATTTCAACGTATTCCGTGTTGTCCTGCGAACACGGATTCGATTTAGATTGTTTTGAAAATGTTCGAGTGTTTTTGTATTTATCTACATTATCTGCTTCTGTTCTTTTGATAAATAAAATTTCAGAATAATTAAGGGAATGACATTTTTTTTTCAAAGATGCTTTTCTCATATTGTTTTCTTTTCGTTCATCAGATTCCTCTGTATATTGCTCAAGTCTTTCAGTTGTATCTGCATTGATGACTATTTCTGTTTCACCTCTTCCTATAAAACTGTATGGGCGATTTTCAATATTTTGAACGATTATTTGATATGGATTAAGATATTGTTCTTCGGAGTTTGATATACTATTTTTATCTGAGCTTGTCGAATCATTGGAAGATTTTTCAACATTAATATCATTTAGATATCGTTGTTGATCAGGATCTGGAAGTGTAATGTCATCAATTTCCTCGTAGATGCTTTCGATTCTGATTTCTGTCGGATGTTGAATTGTTTCATTATGAGCATGCCTATTTAGAATAGTTCTTCTTTTCTTGTGTCGTTTGTAGGAAATTATTCCAGCTAAGACTATGCCGAATATACAACAACACCCAAGGCACATAATATATACTGCATTATTTACAAATATATCTGAAAATATAATTGACACGTACCGTTCAGCATTTATTTTGATAAAATTAACGGTACCAATATCACAGCATCAGTCCAAAAATTTAATACAAATAATCAAGAGCAAATAAAAACAAAATAACCTGAAAGGAATCAGAGCTATTCCTTAAGAAAGTGCATTCCTTAATCTGAAATGTATAGAAAATTGTTTAAATAAACCAATATTCGTATTGGCATGTCTGTACCGACGTACTTTCTACTAGCCTGGGAAAATTTTTAAATACTAATAGTTCACCATCAGAGGTATTTAGCTAGTGGTTGTAATAACATTAACGATACCAAATGAACAGCGCCAGATGTAATTAATTAACTCTCAAGTCCCATTTTTAGCATTCATGTTGCAAATAGCACACATTAAACTGCTTACTTTTCAAGAGCATTCTAGTTCACGTTCAACATGTTCAATTGTACTTTATCTTCATCATTATGTTATAATTTCTGGACTATTGATTTTTATCGTTGTTTTTTTCGTATTGTAAAACTATTTATGTTTTTAAAATACCGTTTTAACAAGAGTGTTAATCACTTGATGAAATTCTAATCTGACATTTTAAATTTTATTTTGTGTTTCGTATTTTGTTTGCATGAAAAGTTCTTGTAATAAAAATGTGTTTTAGAAATGTTTTGAGATTTGGCTTATCGGTCTAAAAAACAATATGATCAGTGCTTACCTTTTCTTGTCCGTAATTTAACGAGAAGCTAATCTGTACATATTTTTCGTGCCATATCACCTTTATTCATATTGTATGATTTTACCTATATTTTAATCAAATATCTTCTGCCATTATTTTACTCGGCAAGGTCAGGATAGATGCTCAATGTTAAGGATACTTAGCAAACCATTGATATGAATTCTAATATATATTTTGATAAGCATTTACAATATAAAAACCACTTAACATAATAAAACACGAGTAAATGAAAAACAAATCAAAGGATTGAAAAACATTGTTTACCATATCTGTCGACAATAGTAGAAGTGTTTGTATAAAACTCCATAACTGCAGTGGCGTTGTATTCTAAACAAATGAAAATGCACAAATATGAAACAAATACAAAGGATATAAATTTGTTGAGGTTGTTATGATTTTTCTTTGTCCTATAAGTTAAGACTGACAGATTTAAGAAAAAAAACCCAAAACATTTGACTCAATTGGAATATTTTGAAGGTGATTTACCTGATTACTTTTCACTAGTGCAATGCATACGTTTTGAATAACTGGTTATCTATTTTAACATTGTAACTCTCTTAAATGGTATCTATAATGGGTTTATGTTACCTGTAACAATATCATCTTAAAATCTATGTACTTGTTTAATTGAATTTTGAAAAGAACGACTAAAATGTGTCCAAGAAATGTTGATCGATCACTCAGCGAGACCGGATACGGCAACAAGGTATACTCTCCTGCCATGCTTGCATCACCCGCAATGCAAATCTGCACTCAGGCAAAATATTCCTATCGGCGATATGACACAAAATTATAAATTATAAATTAAAGAACAGTCGCAGTCTTATAGAAGAGGTGCATACCTAAAATTGTCAACTCTAAAAAATTCATTTGCTCTGAACTGCACCTTCTTGGAAATAATCTTTTACGATAGGCAATTTTAAATATTAACCCGTTCTATGGGTCATAATTGTGCATGTTGTATATACTAAAAGAAAATTTTATTACATATGACAAATTACAACAACTTTAACATTAAAATTGTTAATTCTACCATTTGTCGAAATACACACTTCCATTTTCTGACACCTCTTTGAAACAATTACCAGATTTTAGAATCTGACTGATTGATTATACCAGTTAACATTCTGTATCGGACCTTTATTAAATAACTTCTCTGTTGGCAGACTTAATATAAATAAAACTGCATGTGCAAACATGTCATCCTGGCAAATACTTTATTTTTTTTTGTATTTGCTGAGTTCTGTACCGGCTAATAGAGGATTTCAGAATATCAAAAGTTAAGTACACTGTCGTCTGGAAGTCTTTTTGTCATTTATGTGCCAAAATCAGACATAAAAGTTCAGTCTGGCAACTATTTGTATGATGAAGACAATGACATTTGTATTAAAAGAAAGAAAAAGGGTTTTGTAAGCAGAGACTATAATTTTTAACTTTTGTTTGTCGATTTTGGCAACGAGTCTGTAGTTAATGAACTTTATCGTACTTGTCCAAAATAAATATTGCTTGCGTGAATATTTGATTTTTTTTCTTTCCTAATCTTTTGTGAAAAGGTATAGAACGCCTTAACTGTCTTATAGTGTAAATATTTAATGTGTTTTGTCGCTTTGTCTTTACGTCTCGTCATTTCTTCTTTGTGTTATGTGTAAGTGCCTTTATTTCCTGACACTGCATCTCTGTGTTATGTCAAATTAATTATTTGTTTTGTAAAACAATTGTATGATATGTCATTGCTATTCTTTGTTGTGTGCAATATGCATTACATTATGTTGTAACTGCTGTATATTTTGTGAATACCTCTAAACTTTATGATCAACCATTAAAACATTCTAGCACATTTCCTCTATGTTGTGTCTATTCTTCCTTTAAGTAAGTCAGTTGATAATTGCGTCTCAAATGTGATTGTTATGTAGAATGTTCGAAACGTTTTGTTTTGTCACATCTTTGTTCTATAGAAACTTCATGATATTATATTTTAATGGCTTTAAGTTGTGTCTATACATATGTATCTTCTGTGAAAAATATAATATATCATGGTATAGCTTATATGCGATTTGCCAACCAATTGATACTTTCTGTTAACATTCAAGATGTCATGTGAATCTAATGGTACGTTATCTGCAAACACGTATTACATTATGTGCAAACACCTATTACGTTATATGCAAATGACTATTACATTATGTGCAAACACTTATATCGTTATGTGCAAATACCTATGGCATTATGTGCAAACATCTATAACGTTATGTGCAAACACCTTTCACGTTATGTGCAAACACCTATTACGTTAAGTACAAATACCTATTACATTATGTGCAAAAAACTATTACATTATGTGCAAACACTTATTACGTTACGTGCAAACGCCTATTACCTTAATAGCAAACACCTATAACGTTATGGTAAATGCCTTTTTAACACAGATTAAACCAAAACGCATCAATGATATATACAATTACAGTAATAAAAAATTAAGGAAATCAAAATAATGTTAAATAAAATCCAACCGCAATTCTTTACGGAGAATGTGAATGGAGAATAAATTGATGCTCTCTTTCACGTCCGCCAACCGGGTCATTATATAGGTCGCTTTAGTTTGCATACATACTAATATATATATAAATATATATTAGCTGCGCCTTAAATTCATAAAACATGTACATATACGTGTATATGCATATTATGTGTAGCCTACCTTCATTCCTCAATATGAATGATATGGTTTTAGTATTACTGTTCAACAGTTTCACGGGGATGGGGTTTCAACATGAGTTTTTTCGTTACATATACGTGTGCAGTCGGGATTTGTCCCCCCCCCCCCTCCATTCATATATTGAAGTCTTGTGAAATCATGGCCCATAACAATATTTCATGGAAAATCAATACCCATTCATATATTCTTCAGATATCACATATTCATTTATTTAGATTTTAACGTGATTTTAAACGATAGATCAAGATTTATACAAAATCTTATCGAAAGACGAAAATTACTGACCAATTGACATATTACCTTGCTGAAATCTCAATCCATTGATATATTTGACGTATCAAAAAAGTGACCCATTCCAGCGGCACATATGTATATACCTTCATATCAAAAGAGACCCCCTTTCCCCCGGGAACAATTAGGCGAGTAATTGTATGAACCTAAATTACCCTCCCGGTCGGCCATTCTAGCGAGAAACGTGTGCTAGTTTAATGCTACCAATGCAATGACGTCTCCCACGATTGATGTAGCAGATAAGAATCCTTAAAAGAATTTAGATTTTATAGCCGTTCATTTCCAAATTTTGCCAAAAACCACCTGGCCCCCTCTCAATACGCCTCTGATGACAGAAATGTATGTGTCCTCGTCAGGGACGGAGGAATCACTAAATACCAGTATGTCTTTGGAATGATATTCAGAATAATATACACGATGTATGGGAAATGACCGGCAATAAAATCTAAATTCTTTACAGGATTCATAATCTGCTACATCAATCATGGGAGACGTCATTGCATTGGTAGCATCAAACTGACTTACGTTTCTCGCTCAAATAGCCTATCGGGAGTGTAATTTAGGGACCATATTCAATTCTTATTCGCCAATAATCAATAATCTTAAATACTAAATTATCCTTACACCCGTTATATTTCTAGTACGGGGGTGCAGTCGGGAGAAACAATGGGAAATGTTATTGTTCATTCCGGCTGCACTTCTTGTAAACTACCCAAAAACATTTACCAGGATAAAGTATAGACATTCAACATAAAAAGTAGGATTTTACCGAGAAATCTTTCAAAAAGAGGACCTTTATTCTAATGTTTAATCAAGAAATGCTTTAATTGTATAATTATATCACAGACGACACAAGGTGAACAATATGATGAAATTTCTAAACAATATCAGGAACTCACGAAATATCTATCAGTGAATAATTTATATTTCATTAGGAACTATCATATGTATTTGGTTGTTTTTTTTTTTTTTTTTTTTGTTTGTTTTTTCTTTTGAATTTGTTTTTGGTTGTTTTTAGTTTTTTATTTTGCTTTTATACTACAAAGTAACACAGTCGACCAGTCCGTCATAGTTCATATAATTACTCGCCAAAACGTTCACGGGTGGATGGGTTTCTCTACCTATATGAAGGCATATACATATGTGCCGCTGGAATGGGTCACTTTTTTGATACGTCAAATATATCAATGGGTTGCGTTTTCAGCAAGGTAATATGTCAATGGGTCAGTAATTTTCATCTTTCGATTAAATTTTTGTACAAATCCTGATTTATCGTTTAAAATCACGTTAAAATCTTAAAAAAATAATATGTGGTATCTGAGGAATATGTGAATAGGTACTGATTTTGCCATGAAATATTTTTATGGGTCGTGATTTCACAAGACTTCAATATATGCATGGGGGTGTTTTTGAAATCCCGGCTGCACATCTGTACCCAAACATTCATGTTGAAGATCCCCCCCTTCCCGTGAAAATATTTAACAGTAATACTAAAACTATATTGAGGAATGAAGGTAGACTATACATAATATGCATATACACGTATATGTACATGTTTAATGAATTTAAGGCACAGTTATTATATATTTATATGTATATATATATAAGTATGTATGCAAACTAAAGCGACCTATATACTGACCCGGTTGGCGGGTGTGAGAGAGAGCATCAATTTATTCTCCGTTCACATTCTCCGTAAAGAATAACGGTTGGATTTTGTTTTTAACATGTAACATTCTTTTGATTTCCTTTAATTTTCGATAACTGTAAATGTATATATCATTGATGCATTTTGTTTTAATCTGTGTTAAAAAGGCGTTTACCATAACGTAATAGGTGTTTGCACATAACGTTATAGGTGTTTGCCATTAACGAAATAGGTGTTTGCCATTAACGTAATAGGTGTTTGCACGTAGCGTTAGAAGTGTTTGCACATAATGTAATAGGTGTTTACACATAACGTAATAGGTGTTTGCACATAATGTAATAGGTATTTGTACTTAACGTAGTAGGTGTTTGCACATAACGTCAAAGGTGTTTGCACATAACGTAATACGTGTTTGCACATAATGTCATAGGTATTTGCACATAACGTAATAGGTGTTTGCACATTACGTAATATGTATTTACACATAACATAATAGGTGTTTGTTTGCACATAATGTAATACGTGTTTGCACATAACGTACCATTAGATTCACATGACATCTTGAATGTTAACAGAAAGTATAAATTGTTTGGCAAAACGAATATAAGCTATACCATGATATATTATATTTGTCACAGAAGATACATATCTATAAACGCAACACAAAGCCATTAAAATATAATATCATGAAGTTTTCATAGAACAAAGATATATCAAAACAAAACGTTTTGAACATTCAACATAACAATCCCATTTGGACGCAATTATTAACTGACTTACTTAAAGAAAGAATAGACACAACATAGAGGGAATGTGAAAGAACGTAAAGGTGGTCGATCATAAAGTTGATCATAAAGTTTAGAAATATTCACAGAATATATAAATAGTTACAACATAATGTAATGCATATTGCACATAACAAAGAATAGCAATGATATATCATTCAATTGTTTGACAAAACAAATTATTAATTTGACATAACACAGAGATGCTATGTCAGGAAATAAAGGCACTTACACATAACATAAAGAAGAAATGACGGGACGTAAAGACAAAGCGACAAAACACATTAAATATTTACACTATAAGACAGATACGGCGTTCCATACAAAGGCATTACCTTTCCGGCTTCTGTTATGTGTTCGTATTGATATGAGTTGTAACTTTATATAGTGACTGAAAAAAGTGAACAAATCCTCAGTCTCAAGAAACAGAAAAATATGACACCTCAAAGCTGTCATAGTTTTTTTCCTGTGACCTGTCAGCAAACGTCCAATTCTTTTAAACAGATTTGTTTCCATTGTATTCTTCTTTAATCAATGTTCTGTATGCTTCCCTGGCATCTTATCAATGGTTCGTGTTTTAGTTTCTTTTACTCATAGCAAAAGGGTCAATTTGAAAAATTAGAAAAAAAGACGTGTTTGGCAAACGTACAATAATATGATTTAAGCAAAATGTCTGTTAGCTTTCAAGATTTCAAAATCAACAACAGCAGTGTATATAAAGTGCGAATCCTGAAATACCATTTTCACTTTATTTGCCATGAATTTCTAATGTAGAATGATAAATAAACAGACGAAACGTTAATGATTTTGGAATAAAACAATGAATAATACATTAAATTATGGATCGTTTTGATAAACTCATAATACAGGTAAGAGATGTAAACGGGTTTATATAGCAATTACAGCGACCCAGGTGTGAAATTGCTACTCAAATAGGTATATATTAAGAACATTTCACGAACAGAGCGTGCAGGAGATTTTAAAAGCAGCAGTAAAGTTTTATTGTCAGAAATATATGCCTTCTAACATAATCATTAATGTTGTATAACTTTAAACAGTTTTTGTTATTCAGTTTGTTGATATTGAGTTAAATTGCATTAAAGTGTTTTCGTTATGCTTTTCGTGTTTACTGTCGAATAATGATGCAATACTTTCATTTTCACTGTAGGGGCCATTCATTTCTATTGTATATGCGGTGCATTTTCACAGTAGAAATCTTTTTCATTTTCATCAAATAGAGTGTTAATTCAGCCGACTCGCTGACAAACTAAATTAACTCAGAAGGATTTGATAATGTTTACTTTGTGATTGAAAGTCTTACGAACTACAAAAATGAATTCTGTAAAAATAAGAGCTTTTATTGCTAAAAATATTCAATTCTTTTCTTTTAATAGTTTGTCAGGATATATATATGAAGGTTTAAATTTATCCATTCCAATGACATGTTATCATTGAAAACATATACCTTGCACAGTGAAGAACATTAACGGCCACCGAAAACTATGATTAAGTTTTGGGTTTCGGTCTATATCTAGTGCACTATACATCACATACTAATAAAAACGTCATTAATGAATGCATCTTGCATAATAAAGATCGTTCACACAACGACCTATGTTTTACGCTGGAGTGACTGGTTACGTTTTCAGTTTATGTTTATATCTAAGGAGCTATACATCAAGTATCGATGCAACTTCATCAGTGCGTATATATTGAACATAAAGGGAGTACGCAATTTGAAAATACAATGACATATTGAGAACAGTTTATTGTTACAAATTTTAATGGTTCCATATCACTTGTATCATAACTGTACAGTTGATTTCGGACGTTGCTGTGTACCGAAGCAAAGTTTGTAGATAGAACGTCCAAATATTTTTTCGAAGACTTATCGCCGTAACAGTAGGTTAACATGTTTAGGAAAACAAAGTTTATTGCTTCCTGACAGCATTGTTTATTTTATATAATACTGAACACCCAACATTAATTTAAACAACAAAAAAAATCATTAAAAGCACGATCACATTTAGTTTTCGAGTCTTCATATCACATGTACCATGCTTTTATTAAAAGTTTAATCAAGTTTGTGTTACACCGAATCTTTGTTACGCGATGTTTACAGGTAATTTATACACACGTTTATTGAAAATAGTCACAACGGATGAGAAACCCGTTGTTATAATTCATTTATACATGTTTAAAGATCAATCTCCGGATTTCGTCATGTTTCGTTGTCTTTATATTATTTTTGTTTAGGACTGTTCATTGCCAATTTGTTGTGCATTTTGGCAACTCAAAGGAGCGATCAATATGGTAAAAATAAGTACATAACATAATTCTAGATTTTTAGAGTTATTTTTCCAAATCTTTCAGAAACTTGATTGCAAGATGAATTTACAGAATAGAGAATATTGGGCCAAAAAATAAAGAATAGAGAAAATGGACATAAAAATAAAGAATAGAGATTAATGGGGTGCTAAAATATAAAGAATAACTGCAAAAATTAAAGAATTGGGTAAACATATACCGATTACAGAAAAGAACAATGTCCAGAATACAGTTATCAAGCAATTACAGAATAGTCATTATTTTTAAAGATAAAAAATAGTCTGCGAAAAAAATAAAGAATACAGAAATGACGGACCCCCAGATCTACACCCTCATCAAGTGCTCCTGATGCGTGGGCTCTACTTGGTCCCACATTAAACATACACAAAATTCAGGTGCTTTAATTTTCAATATGAAATGATAAAAATGTCAAATAGTTAAGTCGTTACAAACAATAAAAGATGGGTATTTCAAAGGAGACAGCATATTTTCTTCTCGATATTTTAAGAGACGGAGGGTACAGTACTGTTTGAAAACGCGCAACGAACGGTACAATATAAACAATTTTATAAACCGATGGCTATTTTAAAAAATCAAAATGATTACAATGGATTACAATACTGATCACTTAACATGCATACAATGTATAAAATAGACTTTTGTTTTCAAATAATGTACATAACTCAGAACATTTTTTATATTATATATCGGCTTCTCTCGGCTTGTTCTATATCGCTTAAAACGCACAATGTCCACAATCAACTGTACGGTGGTTAAGCATGTACGATAAGTTTAGATTTCTAAATTGTAAAGATCATCAATATTTGATTCATCAAATGAATATTATGGTAAGTTTTTACATGTCCAATTATCACATAAAACCACAATGAAAATTCTTCGCATCTAAAAAAATCCCACATCAAAAATGATCGCACTTACAGTGATAATGCATCGCACGAATGTCAAAATGAATCGCTTTCAATAACTTTATTCTAGATTCTGTTGCTTTAATAACATATTTTGGGACTTAAATCATGTTATTGTATATAGTAAAGTCATAGTCTAATGAAATTGTGTTAAAACATACATTCAAATCAATTATTTTGTATTTTTAAAACATAAACAAACACAGTTTTTCCCATCATCCTTTATTCTACAATAGTAATACTCGCATATGACAGTGAAAATAAACTGTCTGGATTCGCACTTTATATATACACTGAACAGTGAACCTTATAACGTAATTATCACCCCGTTATTTTTCAAAGTTAAAACTACCTGACAACTGTGTGCTGTCTGTTGTCGATACATTCATACATCCATGAATATGATCACACCTGAAATACGTAAGTTTCAGTCATTGTTCACATTAGAAAGTACAGAAAAGGGTTCGTGCTGCAAATGTTACGTTAATTTTTTCAAAATTAAATTGTTGCCTTTCAAATATCTTAAACTTATGTTTCATTGACCTTTTTTTTATTAACAATGAATTTATAATGTAAAGTGGATAATGTTACAAAATAATATCAACAATAAAGATGTCATGGGTTCTTTTTAATTGATAAAAAATACATTTCAGTAAGAAAATCATTATTTGAGGTTCTTACAAACCTTTGATTTGCTGTACATAACAGACATTTATCAGCACATCGATATCCGTATCTTTTTCCAGAACAAGGCTCGCATGGCTCACCTTTTGATGATGTGTATCCTATATCACATTCTTAAAATAAATGTAAATTTAGTGTTTATCATCATTTTTATAATAAATAAATGTATCAAATACTTTGTCGATATTTAATAATCTCACCAGAGTCATGTCATTTTCTTTTGGCATTTTGTGTATCTCCTGTTACTAACAGTCCTGACTAGACATTATTACGAGTGGCTCTGACATCTCACGGAATTTTTATTACTTGGAACGTCAGGGCTCAGTCCCTATTGAAAACAAGTAAATTGCTAACCCAGACTTTGAGCTGAATTTCTTTTTTCTAAATAGCAAATAATCCATTTCCTAGTTGACAAATCACTCATCGTTCTATTCCTTATTTATTTTACTCAAAGAAAATGTACTTTGGATTCACGTTCTAACCTTCAAACAAGCAATATTTCTCTCAAGAGATGATTTACTACCACATTGTTTCGTTTTACTAAACGTTATATGTATAAATCAAAGGGAATATATGAGTAAAACAAATAACTTTAAAATAGGTCGATATAGGATGTATGGACAGAGTTAGTGCCTCCTTCACGGCAAGCATCAACCACAATGGGAAGGTTGATTTGGCCAAATGGTAATGTACGTTATGCGATATTGCATAATTTTGGTTTATGAGGATGTAAGACGGCGAAAGTAATTCTATTTTTCAGTTGAGACATACAACAACAATAAATGACAATGGATAGTGGACAAGCACAATGATTGATCCGGTAAAAACACCAGATAAAAAATCAAAGTTCTGATAATAAAAAAGTGAAATATGTGAATGTATTGTGAGTTACATTTATATTCATCAGTTTTGTAAGATTCATATGACATTCAAGTTCCCTGGAGAGTTATTTACCCGATTGAAACTACAACTAAAAGCCAAGACTTTTAATGTAATATGCTTTCTCTAAAACAATTAGAACATTTACCTTGAAAAACCATCGTCACCAAATTTTTTGGGATGAATAAGCAAACAATATTTTTAAAGAGCATACAGTGTACATATGAGAAAGTCTTTCAACACATTTTTGTTGAACAATTTGGTTTATTCCAGATTTGCAATTAAAAACTGTAAATGATCTTACCAACACATGCTGTGCCTATTTTTTCATAGCAGTCACAACAAAAATAGTCTTTATTATACACAGAATCTTCATTTGATCTGTAAATGATAAAAAGATAATATATTTGTATTTTCAAACGAAAGTGATGCACGATAAAAGAATAGATGAAAGAGGTGAAATTTGATGCATTTCAATGTTGTTTTTAGCTATTATTATACATGTTATAGTCTTCTCTTTTGTCATCCCAGAAGATGGTAGCTTTGTTGTGTTGAATCAGTGGTCAAGTGCCTAATTTACATATCTTGTGTGTGTCCACTGGTTTTCCTAATCACATTTTTCCTAATGATATCACCACTTGATCGATACAGCCATACACAAATTCAAAGTGTTTATAATTTGAAGTGTCATATAATTTGTTAATAATAATGCACTTTGTATTTGTTTTTCACGTTATCCCAACAAGTTCAATGCTGAAATATAATTATTGAATAAAAAAAACCTTGTGTAATATAAATTCCTTACCTTCGATCAACACCATGGAAACATATGTTTGCATAGCATGAAAGAAAAAAATAAACATTATACATGAATATCCAAATTGCCATATTGTGCGCAGTCACAGACTATAGTCATAAAGTCATAAGCGAGATGTCAAAAAATCCCAACTTTTGTTTCCTGATACAAAATTTCAAGTGTTTTTTTTAATCAATTGAATGATCAATTGAAATTGTTACATGTTTAATTGATATATGTAATGTAATTGCATCTCGCTCCAAAAAAAATACCCCGCAATTTCATCAATTTACAACCTTAAAAGTGCAATTATTTCTAACGATTTTCAATTTACATGTTAGATAAATAGATGTGACCTTTTAATAATTGAGAAGGTTTACATAACTTACTGTATAACATGTATACATGTATCGGTTTAAACGTTTCAGTATGTTTATTTACCAGAACATAATTTGAACTGAATTTTGTCTGACAAAGGGAAGTAAAACCTTAACGTAATAATTTTCCACATCACCGATCAAACATAAATAATATATGTATGTCAGAAAAGTTGGAGACGTACCAGTTAGGACGATTTTAAGAATCTAAGACTCCAACAGTTACTCCCTCGGACAAATTTGATCTTGGATAAATATGCATGTTGAACATATTGTACCGTACACATTTACCTCGTTTTATTTTCTCTGCTATCCGCTTTCATTGTGGCATTTATATATATGACGGTATAACCAGAGCAAAATCATTTAGCTTACAGTAACTAAGGAAAACTAAATCACATTCAAAAGAAAACGTTTTACCGTACATTTCAACTCACAACCCCAGAAATAGTGAAGCGTTTAATACTATATATAATTATTTACCATTTTTACAGAGAGGTTAAAATGGTTAAACTTTACAGAATCACGCTTATCACAAAAATGAAGTTGTCGCCATTAGTAACAATTATACTTTATACGTAATTAAATTTTATCATTTATTTCAGAACAATTCAAATTAAAACCTCAACTTTAGTATCACGAAAAACCTACGTTTTTTTTAGAACAATTAAATGTAGGTATGCAACGCATTGTATACCAAGTGACTATAAGTACAAACGACAATTTAAGCGTTATTTCCATTGATGTCACTACAAAAAAGCGTGAAAAGACCAACGTTCTAATATATTTCAAGATGTTTTCCGAAATTCCAAAACAATGGAATGTGTTAAGGATTTTTCTGTCGAACAAAAGGGCTTATCATGCATTTTGGAATGACATTTCATAGGCAGGTACCAAAACTTTTATGTCTGCTAAGTGTTAGTTAATTATTATTTTTTTTTTTTTATTATTTCGGTATGTACGAAACACATCTACCACCTGTATGATTTATGACGTTAATATATTTAAAACAATCACCTGATATACCTGCAGTTTAATACAATCAAGTCATTTTATTTTGAAATATATTATATTACTGGCTGGTTAACTTCAATCAAAATCAATAGGCGAGTAAAACTGTATGAATAAAGAAGCATTGTAACGATTTCATATATCAACTGCTTTCAATAATTAATCGTGTCATATAATCAATACAAAGTAAAACGTAAATAGCCTTGTAAAGATTTTATCTAAAACTTTTTCAATATGTATTATACAGGGATTTAATTAGAGAAATATTGAAGACATGTTTTTGGTGTTTTTGAAGCAGGTAAAGTAGAAAACTACACATTCAAACAATTCTTTTGGGATCATTTTTTTTTAATTCTATAAAGAAATACAAAGCATTGACATAATTTATATGATAAACGTGTCTGGTAAATTTTAAGTTTACATGTTATCAAAACGTATTATTTTAAAGTCGAACATCTCTCCATTAGAACGGATGTATGACAATTTTACCTTCTTGATGTCCTGAATGTGCATACGATATTAAATGTGGTGTGAGTTTAAATTTCCGATGTTGAGGTCTTTATATCCCGAATCTAGCTATAAAACACTAAAATAAGTATCACACATCATTAACTTTTGTAGAATTTCCGAATAGGACTCTCTTCTTTATTAATTTAATGTCTTTTTTACAGAAATGCTAATTTGTCATGATATCCAGGTGATTTGCTTTACATGTTTTTGCAAGATCAAGCTACGACGATTAAATCATATAAGTTGCGTCACGTGATCAAAATGAAGATTAAACAGTGATCTTATGTACGTTGTTCCATATTTCAGTATTTTCCTGAATTCAATATTTTATAGAATATCGGGTCAAGGAAAACATACAGTTTTCGTTTCATGTCTCATTCTGTGATAAAGATAAAGATACAAGTTAATCCAGAGAAGCACTTCGGACGCTTAAAAATTTCATAAGGTGTGATTTACATTATGGACTATTATATTATTGGGAGTTCAAGGTAATCATTAGAGTAGTTTCTGCTGATATATTTTATATCAATTCGATGTGTGCACAAAAATGAGATTTTTAAAGCTTTTAATATTGAAAACACATTTATATGTTGTCGAAGGCCATATAAGGAACTCTTGTCCGTTCATGTTATTTCGTTTATATATATATATATATATATATATATATATCTTTTTGACATTACGTCTGGCTTGTTTTTATAAATATCGAATTTTAAACATTAAATCCTATTGCAAACGTTTCAAGCTGTCAGTTGTCTAAGGACTTCGATTTTAGGCCGATCTGTCTCAAAGCAAAATGTCCAGCTACGATATGTGTCGTTTACGCTACATTTTCGCTTTATATCTTGTTGAAAAAATTATGATGCATGACTATTATTTTCATTTTTGCCCCGCGAATCCCCTTTCTAAATGATCACCATCAATTTTATCAGCAATCAAAACCGGATTTCAAACTTTTTGTGAAACTACGTACTCAAGGACTTGTGTGAATCAGATATGGATACTTAAAAATTCTAAACATCTGTTGGGAGTACATACAATCTAAGTTTCTTTCCTATTTAAAAAATATCAAAACATTAACTTGTCTAAAAACAAGTATTCCACATTCAAAACTAAATGACAAATTACAAGAATTAGTTCTGCTTTGTTTAAAAAAAAGACAACGACCAACGTACATACAATAAAATAATAAATGGAAACGAGGAATGTGACAAAGAGACAACAACCCGACCAAAGAACAGCAAACAGCCAAAGGCCACCAATGGGTCTTCAAAACAACGAGAAAATTCCGCAACCGGAGGCGGGCTTCAGCTAACCCCTTTACAAAAATGTGTACTAGTTTAGAGAAAATGGACGTCACGCTAAACTCTGAAACATATAAATGAACTGAAATTAAAAAACATACAAGACTTACAATGGCCAGAGGTTCCTGACTTGGGACAGGCACAAAAATGCGGTGGGTTTAACATGTTTTGTGAGATCTCATCCCTCCCCCTACACCTATAGCCAATGTAGAATAAACAAACACACAGCAATACGCACAAAAAACTCAGTTTAAAGAAGTCTGAGTCCGATGTTAGAATAGGTAACAAAAGAAAAAAAGCAAAATGACACTGATAACATAAACTAACACAGGACTACTAGCAGTTACTGACATGCCAGCTCCAGACCTCATTTAAACTGATTGAAAGAGTATGTCTCCATCATATGAAGATCAAGCACAAATCCTCCCGCTAGGGGTTTTGTATCATACAATTATAATTTTGACTTACATTTAGACATTGATAATGATGGTCAGTTGAGAACAAAACTTTACGACTAAATTGATGATTTCAGCTTTCCAAATATGAACTTTACATTTATATGCATTTGTTCAGCGCCTGCATATGGAGTATAAATCTCCCATTTAATATGATAGCTCAGAATTTGCATTTCCTTTCATGATTTCCTTGATATTTTGACATTCCACCAGTTCATGTTTTTCTCTGACTGCTGATGACGTCTTTACACTAAATCCCAGTCGGAAATGTACTGATTGATATTTTAGTCTTAGATACATGATTTTTTTATTAGTCGTTTTTGGTTTTGAAATAGCTATCAGTAACTGCGAGTACTCTCAGATCTGTACTTAGTGTCTTTTTTGTTGTTTAAGATGAGGAGTGGATAAATACCCTGCCATGTCCGGTCTGTGTTTTTTTTTTTTTTTATGTTTTACTGCTTTGTATCGTTCTGATGAGTTAAGCCTTTTTCAACTGATTTTTATAGTTTGTTCCAATGTTGAGCTATTATACCACTGTCCTGTGTTTAGTTGGGGGGGGGGGTGTTGAACGCTCATAAACCTGTTTAACCCCGCCACATTCTTCAAGTGCCTGCCCCAAGGCAGGAGCCTGCAGTTCAGTGGTTGTCGTTGGTTCATGTCTGTCATATCTATTTTTCATTTCGAGGCCTTTTATAGCCAACTATACGGTATGGGTTTTTCTCATTGTTGAAGGCTGTACGGTTGCCTATAATTGATTACATCCACTTCATTTGAACTTTGGTGGATAGTTGTCTCATTGGTAATCATACTTCATTTCCTTATTTTTACATATTACCTGAAAAGGCAGTACGAAAAATATGAAAACTTAATTGCTTTAAAATCGAATGTGATTTTCATCGAATTTCCGATTCAACAGAGGTAAATATTGTTTTACGGTGCACAAATAGAGTCGTATATTCTATATTAATAGACTTAAACAGAAGTCATACATCTATGAAATTACGCATCAGTGTTTCTTTTCGTTTCAAATTTACGCATGGTTTATATCCGCTGCATTGTAAGGTTTCAATTCGATCAGTGGTTTCCCTCTTTTCATTTCTGGAGAACATATCAAATGACTATATCTTTAATTAAAACAATGTACAAGGCTTAGGAACAGCTATATATCATATGTCCAGTCCAGAACTCACACAATTTTGTTTTAGACAATGTATACTTAAGCTCATAAAACTGTTTCTAATAAACGGCAATCTATATCTTATATGGCACAGATACAACGCTATCGAAACACATTACCATCGTAACAAATTTAGTCAACAGTAGTTTACCAATGTTCAAATTCATAAATCGATTAAAAGGATTCAAATTGAGGTTAAACAAAAACTTAGGTAATTAAATTAACTCTAAAAGGAGCACCGGTAGGGTAAGCATCTCCATGCTATACATGCAGTGCCACCTTGCAAATGCATTCTCAGGCAAAGCTTTACAAGTGAAAATAGTGTACACTTACAGATTAGACGAATATTTTGGATTCAATTCACATGAGCAATACGTAGGATGCTACATGTTCAGCTAGAACTGCTTAACCTATGGGATCACATGAGTTAGGGTTCGTTTTCTTCACCCGTTAACTTTCTGTATTTTGTTTTGCTATAATTGTTTCAATGACGATTGACATTAAGTATGTTCTCTCTTTTTTCTCACTATTTGAAATGTATAGTCTGTTAGACCTTCAGCAAAAATCAATGTTGGTAATGTCTAATGAATACCAAAGTGTCAAATCACTATAAATGATAGGAGGATACCTAATTAAAAGCGAAGTGGAATTATTTTTAAATGTGTACTTTGTTAGATTGCTAATAAGAATTACTAGATTTTAAATTATAAAACAAAAACATAAAAAGTAATTACTTCACATTCATTAAATGTCTACTTCCATATCTGATATCTCCCATTTGAATTATAGTTATCATATTTATTTTGTTCTATTTAACTTGAAATTTCTAGATGACATGTGTCAGGTATTTTCAAAACGCGTTAATGGTAGCTGGTACAATAAACTACTATTAATAAGCTTTTTTTTATGTCAGTTTTTATATATTCAATATAGTAGTAACTATCTTATCATTTCCAAGGTACTCGTATGATTTCGAACGAAAACACAACCTGTCTTATAAAGTTTATGTTTTAGCTAATGACTGATGTTACCGTTCTCAGTGCATCTTAAAAAAATTATAAAGAAACCACCAAACCTAGTAAGTACGACATATACGCGTTTCATCTTCACTAGGATCAACAGTTGCACTCGAATTGACAATTATGGTTAACATCAATTACGAATCAAAGACGAAGAACAATGAAAACCACAAAAAAAACAAATGCGGTGACAAATCATGTAAAGGTGACCTTGGGTAGAAAACCTTCTAAATGAGAAGGTCCGGTAAGGGCTAGTTTTGACCTAATATTCGAAGTACATTTAATGAAAGATTTTTGACATTTTTTAAACACTTTAGTGTCTACTTCAGTCGATTCAATTCGTTTATGTAAAAGATTTGAACTGATTTGGTCATTAAAGACGCTCGAAATTAAGCTTAGATATGAAAAATCAATAAAAAATGCCATAAAACGTCATTTTTCAGATGGTTTTTGTCTAAAATAGAAATGGCTGCAATTGTGTTCAGTATCAAACTTTATATATGTTATGTATTATTACCAAATACAACATATATTTAAATATTAAGACTGACTCAAATGCGGCCACTTCCATTTCAGACAAAAACCGTCTTAAAATTAGCACAAATGCTAAAATTGTGAAGATTTCAGTAATATTGCACGTATTAATGATGCTATTACCTGATGCATGTGCATTGTGTTGTCAAAAACAGCCCATATTTATGGAACAGAAGTGCCCTTTTTTCCAATAAATAGCTAAAAGTTAACATTTCAACCAATTTGTAAAAATGCTACATTTTGGGCCAAAAAAGGGGTCTTACCGGGCCTACTCCTTTAACATTCTTCAACAAAATATTTACAGAAGAAGACTGTACCACTCGTATTTCATGTAACAAAAAGAAAGACTTTTAAAGTTTCCGAAAGTGTTACATATCTTACGATAAAATGTGGTTGTTTGTTATTGTTGAATGCATAAAGAAATGTTCATCATACATAGAATTATTCGAGTGCACCGACGACTTTTGCATTGTTCAAACAAATATGAATGCAGAATTTTGATGATTTAAAATAATTTATAATATTATTGTTGTCGGATGGTATGTTTGCTCCGTGTTTTTAATTGGGTTTTCAAGTTTCAGACACACAAATCTATCAGTTTTATATAATAAAAAAGAAAACCTATAGTTTTTTGAACCAATTTAAAAAAATAATATTTCTGTTGCAAAGAAGTTTTTATCATACCTGTCAACCTCTTACGATGGCAAAACATTTTTAGTGTAATTAACTGGTCATAAGAGTAAATAAATTCTGTTTTAAGGGATTTAACTAGACAAAAGCCATACTTGGTCCATTAATAACGCATACGAAGACCTTAAAAATAAGTTTAAAGCCTTACAACTATTTATAAGAAAAAAAATGTCAAAATGACCACAGGCGCTTGTTGTATAGACCCCCCTTTCTGTGTGTTTAATTTTTATTAATTATTATGAGTAAAATATTCAATTTTCTATGTTTGTACCACTTATCTATTACTACTGCGTATGTCTCGTCTATATTTCGAGTGAATTTACCATCACTGTTACAACCCCTTATTTTACTATCCATACTTAAAACAACATTTTAGTATGGATATCAAACCATGTCAGAGGAGATGCAATGATTAAGTGCATACTGGATAGGATTAAGTCCAAAGACCCGTTACTTTAGAAAATTTATGGACCGCAACAAACTTCGTCTGACATGGTTTGTTTGATACACATACTATTGTGTAGATTTTTGAAGTACGTTTCACCGATCTGAGTATTTCAAATATCATTGATTTCATAAAAATACTCAGAAAGCAAATACTATGATTGATAAGAATAGTATTTAGATGATGATACGTCAACCTTTGTTTTGCTAAACTCATGTGAGAAAACAGGGTATTTCTGTTCTTCCCAAGCGGCTGGTCTTTGTATTAAAGTGACACCTCACATCCACGTATTCCAACATCAATCCGAATTCCGACAGCAAAAAATCTTATTCGGCATATCTTGCATAAAATACACCGATTAAATGAATAGGATTTAGTAAAAATCAATAAATATTGGTTTAACATTGATAACATAATGCCGCCATGTCGGCCAATCATATCTCAGATTTGTACTGTCACAGAATTTATTGGACGCTATATCGATTATTTTTTAGTACCTATGGTACAAAAACAACACACTTATATAAAGGATACGTCTGATCTAATATACAAGTTGGAAAGGATTAAGCCTAATGCAGATTGCTGGCTGTGTAGCTTTGATGTAGTATCAATGTACACTAATTGCCAGATTAATGAATTATTATCGGCAGTTAGAATTTCGTATGATCAGTTTGATAAATCAGATTACAAAATCAAATGCCCACCTACGGATGATTTAATCTATCTCCCCAGATCAATTTTAGAGAACAACATTTTTGATTTTAATGGACAGCTTTATAAGCAAAATATAGGCGCCGCGATAGGAGCAGTGCCAATCCCGGAAATCTGTGATATACTCATGTATAAAATTATGAAAGAAATTCTTTCAAAGTTTGAACATAGAAAAAATATCTTTTTCTATGGAAGGTATCGTGATGATATTATATTAATATATCACGGCGACTGGAAGGAAATAAAGGATTTGTTAGAGTTAGCAAATAGTCCTCATATGTTCCTGAAATTCACACTAGAAATTTTATCTAAAAAAATAATATTTCTTGATGTTAATATTTTCAAAAAAAACTAGGTTTTTTTAATGAAAATATCTTGGATGTGAAAACACACTTTAAACCGACAAATGCCTTCCTTTATCTAGATCGTAAAAGCTGTCACAGTCAACACGTGTTTGCAGGGTTTATCAAGGGCAAAGTTATCAGATACATTAGAACAACAAATAATGATGTTGATTTACAATATATTTTGTTACAGTTCAGATTGAACTTAATAAATAGAGGATACAAGGAGATTGAAATCGGAAAGTACATAAATGAGGCATTATAATGTAATAGATCTGATTTAATAAAAAAAAAAAAAAGCCAAAAAACACACAAAGGAAATGCCTTTAGTATTGGCAACGAAATTCAATCCATGCATTCATAAATTAAAACAACGCATTAGTAAACATTGGTTTGCAACGAAATATTTTTTTCAGGCAAACCAATAATAGCTTATAAAAAGCATAAAAATATAGCAGATCTATTGACAACGACAAAATTAAAATGAATTGATAAGTAAATCCCTGATGATGGCAGGCCTACAATGCTTAAACCCATTCATAAATGTTATACATTTATCATTAGCATATAATACAAAAACCGACGAAACACTAGATTAGTGTCGGATTGATGTAAAGCAATTGCAAGTCTAGTAATACTAGCATCATGTGATCAATATTTTGTAATATAATTACAATAAAATACTGATGGTATGTATACGGAGTCTTCCGAATAAGATTTTTTTGCTTTCGGAATTCGGATTGATGTTGGAATACGTGGATGCTAGGTGTCACTGTTATACAAAATCCTGAGGATGATTAAGGGGGCCCCGTAAATTTTAGGGAATGGAAAGGGAGGTATTCAATTTTTCAATACTCCAGATGGGGGGGATAATAGGCATCGAAAAAAATTTACAAGATTTAAGCTGTTCTGTATTTCAAACATGAACAAATTGTAGCTAATTTGATGAATATACTCTAAATCAGTATCTGATTATTCAACAGAAGTGTCTAACACTTAATTCAGATGTCATATCTATAAATATAGTGTCATAATGTTTGACTTCAAACTTCATTATAACTTTCCATAAAATATAACACTTATAATATTAAAAGTTGTTTCCTTACATGATTTAATAATCGCAAAACTCATGATTGAGCATAAATTTCGATGGTTCAAGATGACATCTAGGAGTTAAATGTGGCATTTTTAATGCGTCTTAACGTGAATAATTTTCCTTTATGAACTCAGGGTATTGTGTCAGGCCACCCACTCCCAACGCTTCCCCTTACAATAAAAAAATGTTTTTTGGAGGAAAGACATACATTTTTTCTATAGTTAACTTCAATATCTATGCTATCATCCTTTTCTTACCCTTAAAACTCATTAAGACCCCTTTTGGAACCCCAATTTTTAAAGCAGAGTCTTGGATATTGAGTGCATCATTTTTTCTTTTGTAGAAAACATTGAATTATTAAAGTGAGGAGTTAGATACAGATACAGGTAATATCTTCTTTAACCTACATGGAGACGATGCGAATTACTATACTTCAACCAGCGTTTTTATGTTAGATTTATACATTACTATGTATAAAACAGCAGCTCCCGTTTCGTACGATTCGTCAAGTTACGCTTTCGTAAGTTCGTTCGTCAATATCCTGGTCATCTCTATTACGCGTATGTTGAAATTGTATTTATTTAAATTATCTATTTTTTTAGATATTACTGTTGTTAGTGATCATTGATATTGGAATGGGAATACAATGTCCGGATTCATCGCAATGGAAATTGAGGACAAAAGGAATTTGCAACACGGTAGAGCCGTGGTATTATTGTTTATTTGATGAAAATTCTTTGAAGTATAAAGAGTTCTGCAGAAACAAACAAGATTTTCATAAGCCAGGTATTGTGATTCCGTGTGTATGTGGTTTCTTTTTATTCATATATTAGTCTGTGTCTGCGATAATTTACATGTTATATTTATCTATATTATATTTAGTATCTTTTGACAACATTCTATTCAAATGATAATTACTTTTTAAAAAGTTCTCCCTTTAAAAGAATGTCACAAGGCCGTTAATTTAATATAATTAAATCAAGGATGTTCGCTGCTTTGTTTCCAAATAATAAGCTTTTGAAAATTCTATTAGAAATTGATAGTCTATAAATAACGGAACAAAAAAAGAAGATAAAATTGAATGGTCCGTATCTTTGTTTTTGAGACATACATGTAAGCTTTGGAAAATTGTGCGGGAAATGATTCTTTCTAGATTCTATAGTATATTGCACACCCTTTTTCTATCAAAAACCATGACAAAATAACAAGAATATTTTCGATTTTTACTAATGCCTATATGAAATAAAATTATGAAACGAAAAGTAGGGGTTAGCGGGCAAAACGTTTTAATGGCACTACATGGTAAATTCAGAGGATTCTGAAATATTACAAAAAGTAAAAAACAAGACAGCCGAACATCCTTAAAAAAATAAAAACAACGTTATAAATTTATTGCATCCGAAGCGTTTTTCTGGATTTACCTTCATCAGGAACGCTGATCCATCTAAGGTCAACTTTGCCTGAGGGAGTTAAAAACCTTATTTTCTTTATAATTTCAACATTTATCAACGGACAACTTTAAAAAGGTTTGTATTAAATCAGGTCAGTACCGAATTACCGACTTCTGGGCTGATGATACCCTCGAAGGCCTGCTTGTCCTCAAACAGAGGTATCGGCCCAGTGCTGTAAAAAAAGAAACAACACGTTATACATTCCATGCGTCCGAAGTGCTTTTCTAGATTTACTTTCATCAAGAACGCTTACCAGGCCGAAAATTAGAAAGCCAAGGATGTTTTAGAATCGAAATAGTTGAAGAGCTATATGATCAAACAGGACCTACAAAGATATCCAAATTTATCTAATGTCAATATTGCCTGAAGGAGTTGAAACCTTAGTTTTTGCATAACTTCAAAATTTACAAACGGACAATTTTAGTAGGTTTTTTATTAATCACTACAGAGCTGGTGATACCCTCTGGGAATGATAGTCCACCAGTGAAGGAATCGGCCCAGTGCTGTACAAAATTTAAACAGCACCTTATAAATTTCATGCGTTCGAAGCGTTTTTCTAGATTTACCTTCTTCAGAAACGATCAAAGCCAAACATTTGAAAGCCAAGGACGTATAAGCATAATATGTTTTCCCCCGCAAAAACAGCTGCCATATATTTGAATCTCTAAAACTTGTGACGTCAATACGAAAATTTTATTTTTATTCGGCATCAGTATAAGCATACGCATTTAATTTACAGTGGACTTAAAAATTATTGTTCAGTTTTTTCTGCTGAAAGAGCTTAGTTATAACTTCAAAATAAATTTAGGCGCAGGAAATAAAGTCACAATGTCAAAGCTGAATAAGAATTTCAGTCTTCATTATAGTCAATTGATCCAGTTCAAACTTTGAACGAATATTACGATTGGGGAAATTTACAGTAAATGTCGACAACCAATGAGTAAAAAGTAAAATAACAATAAAACCAAACTCTAAGGAAAATTTAAAACAGAAAGTTCCTTATCAAATGGCAAAATCAAAAGATCAAAGACATCAAATGAATGGAAAATAACTGTCATATTCCTGACTTGGTAGAAGCATTTCCTTATTCAGAAAGTGGTGGATAAAATCTGGTTGTATAGCTAGCTCAACCTCTCACTTGTATAAAATTCCATTATATTCCTAACAATGTGTGAACAAAAAAAACAGACATACTAGGTACAAATGTCAACAATAGGGGTACAGCAGTCAACATTGTGTTATAATCTTAATCACTTACTCACTATAACACAAACAAATATGTCAACAAAGAAAAACAAAATGGCATATGGACAAAGCACTTAGGCAAAAATGAAAGACAAGAATACAAAAATTGACCATAGCACAATAACATAATGACAGGATGTATACGTACCGAGCCACGCCAAAAGGATATTACCAAAAATAAACTAAACAGTAAAGGTTAATAATTTACAAAGATACATAAAAGAACACTATAACACGTAATAAAGATGTTGAAAAACGTCAGTAACTAGAATCTATACTTCAAGACCATCATGTAATATTTGTGAAGTTGATACGGAATAATTATCAACAAGGTCTTGGTATCTTCCGATGAACTTATTTTAAAAAGGACGAGACGTTCTTTGACATAACCCTGGTTCATCCACTTTCTGCTCAGACACTGGTGACGTTTTGTGAAGTCTGAGTAGCAGCTGCAAGCTCTTAAAAACCGAATGAGTTGGGAAGTGTATATTCTATATGTAGGTGAAGTTGGTATATTGCTACTAAGGCGCGGGGGAAATTGATATTTCAAAATAAAAATCATCTCGTTTGTCATAGATTATGGTACTGAGATGATCGCTTATGTCGTATTCGAGGTAAAAGTCTAAAATCAGGCGGAGGAAGCCATGTCCGATATTTCTTTGATTTCTAGTTCTGGAGGATATATCAATGGAACCCGACATAAAATTTTGGATTGTAAATGGAAAGAACACCATCAATATATCTGAATGTGAAATTAAATGTTCTGGCTTCTTTCATCTTCTTGTTTTTGACAAATATTTGAAGGAACTCCCACTCATCTGAAAATAATTAATTACATACAAAAATGTCCACTTCTTTTATGCTGTCATCAATGTTTTACACAAAATTGAAAGAAAAAATAAACTTATTCTTATTACAATGTAATGAAATCATGACAATCGGATTGGTATACGTAGCTCTGACGTAGAAAATGACACTGTTTGTGCTCATGAATGTAAACGAGATCCGCAATCAACAAAATAGCGATAAATTTAAAACTAGTTACTGTATCTTATGTGTAAAAGTATCCTAAGGAATGTATTTATATTTATACATAGAAGAAACGAGTATACATTTTTTAGACAAACCATTGTTTCGGTAAATAACAAACACTGTGAACTTCTCTTTAATTTTCAACTTTTCGTTTTTGAGAGTAAATATACCATCAGCACAAGTTTATCCCGTTTGCATAACTCCGTTGATTAGATATTCGAACTTTACATTGGAAACCGTTTTTGAGCATAATTTTAATCTGATACATTTGCAGGAAAGAAATCTTTTAACTTTGAGATGCACAGAAAGTATACACATCTTATATGCTATTTCAAAAATGACATAATTAGGTATAGTTTTATTGTAACTAAGAAACCTTTTTTAAAGGGAATTATGATGGGAAAAGAAGACCTGTAATTTTCAGTAACTTTGAGACATATATTTTATATGCAATCGCTTTTGGAACATTGTCGAAACTCAAATAACTTATTTCAACGAGCTGGAGTCAACACTTGCCAACATCCGTTTATTATATTTTTTTGTTTTGCACTATCAATAATACGTTTTCTGTGTAAGATCTGGTTAAACTGTTTGTCGTTTTTCTTGTTTTACTTGATACTGTCTGTTTTAATTGGACCAATGACTTTTGATTGCTGCCTTTTCGACAAATTGTGAGCTTTTCATTACTTTGTAGCAACATTTGAGCAGCGCCTACATATGTAATACATTTCTCTAAGTTGATACGATATTCCAGAGCCCAGTTGATACGATATTCCAGGGATTGCGTTTCCTACCATGATTTCCTTGATAGAGGGTTGATGCTCACAAGAAAGGTATCAAATCAAGAAATTATCCGTTCGTAAATTTTACGGACGCCATCACGAGATGGTTGACCGTTATGGATTATCTGTTTCTCAGATGACGACGGATATGTTCCAATCGTCGTAACCACAATCCCGTCCTCATTTTCTCTAAGTGTGACCTACCGAGTTAGACTTATCACCGCGTGTATATTTACATGAGCAACACCACGGGTGCCAAATGTGGAGTAGGATCCTCTTACTCTTCCAGAGCACCTGAGATCACCCCCGGTTAATGGTGGGGTTTGTGTTGCTCGGTCGTTAGTTTACTGTGTTGTGTTTTCTTTATTATTATTTTTTTTTTTTTTTTTTTTTTTTTTTCGTTTTTTTTTTTGTTTTTTTTTTCTTTGTCCATTTACATATCCCTTTGGTGTCTTCCGCCTCTCTTTTTTTTTTATTGCATATACATGTAACTATTTTTCTTGAACTTAAGCACACTCATATTAAGTTTTTCTACGTGCTTTTCAGTGACAAGTTAGCTGCATATCTATACAAAGTTTTTTTAAGGTTCCCTTCTGGCTCTTTTACTGCTAATGCCAAAATTGAATTTAATTTATCACTAAGTCAATTAAGATTCCTCTGTGGTTTTTCAATTTTCAAACATGAGCTTGTCTTGCATCAGTGATTATATAAGTTTTTTTGGTCTATTTAAACATGTAAACAATCTTCAAAACTAACTAAGTTCACTCAGGTTTAGACCGTTTAAGTATATATTATGTTTAAAAACTACTACAGTAACTGTGATCATTCATAAAATGACTTACGATTGCTATATATTCCATTGTGTTTACCTTGTTAGGATATAAGTATGTAGTTAGTGGAAATATCAACGGAAAACCATGCAATGTAGTTAGGTTTCAGCCATTCAAGTTCAAAACAGATGGAAACAGTAGATGTGTCTTCCAAAAGTCATTATGTACTGAAGAGGGTCAGGTTGATTTCAATAATGGCACAACGGTATCAGACAGTACTTGTCGGTGTGATTTTACTAGAGGATATGCTTTTGTTTCTACACCAAAAGATCTTTGCTTCTGTGTCCCATCGAATGAGGATTGTTCATGTTTCAAGAAACCGTGTAGAGAAAATGAAATACTCACCCCTGGTATGTTTAATTATTATAAGAAACCAAACAATGTGAACCATTTGGTTGTGATTTTGAAAAGATGATATTTGGTTTAGTTTTTTTCCCATTTTCTAAAGCACAAAATACTTGCAAGACAAGGAATTAGATTTATAATCACCTCAGTTCATACGGTAAGAATCTAAATGCTTCCGTAAACTTTTACAGAATAGATGGCAAGCGGAGACAAATAAATACTAGTTAGTTTGCGACTACTGAGGTTGACGCGTTGGACGAACATTCTAAGAGTTTCCCTATTTTTAACGACACTATATCAATAAAATGCTTTGAGAACATTATACATTTTTACCACTCTTAGTAAAGATTAAGAGGAAAACCAAGAACGTTTCTTAAAATGAAACAAAAATACTTCTTGTAGTTTTCAGTGAAACAATTGAAACCTAGTGCATGTAATGAAAACAGGAAAAGTTATCATAAATCACAGTATAACAACTTTTCTATTACGTCTTATATCCGTTACCAAGGCAAAACAATATTTGTGAAAATATTGTTTGATCTAGTTTTATCAGACCTTTTCAACCTCGGCACTGACTAATGTCCCCTACAGTTTATAGGGGAAATTCGGTTATCGTTTCAAAATAAATATCATTCAGGAATAACATTACATAATCTATACAGCTTGCTGTTCGGTGTGAGCCAAGGCTTCGTGTTGAAGGCCGTACTTTTACCTATAATGGTTTACTTTTACAAATTGTGACTTGGATGGAGAATTGTCTCATTGACACTCATACCACAACTTCTTATATCTATATATTTGCGGAATAAGAATATTATTTAGAAGGAGAAAGAGACGTATATCGAGCAAATGGTTTGTTGCAGATTTGTTTACTATTTTCCTTTCTTTTCTCTCATCACATAGCACATAACTCATTTTTTTAATTTCTTTTAAATGTTTTGTAGAAAGGGAGACAAAAGATACGAAAAGGATATTAAAACTTAAAAGTTGATGACAAATTGACAACGCCATTACAAAACAAAAGAACCAAAAAACTAACAACAGTACACACTAACCCACCAAACAATGGGGGTGATCTGAGGTGCTCCAGAAGGGTAAGCGGATCTACTTCCACTCCACATTTGGCACCTATCGTGTTACTCGTGGTTGCTTAGTACAAATTCGGTACTAAGTCTAGTTTGGTGGTGTCACATACGACACAATGTATGAGGACAATAGAACATGATCATGGCTACGACAATTGAACAAACCCTTCGTCATTTGTGAAACAGTTATTCAAGAATGGTAAACCAACTCGTAAGGACTTTGCGAAATATATAATGTAATGTGACTGTCCGTCTGTCGCATATTGTCAAAACTGTAGATCTTGTGTTTCTAAACCGATCTTCACCACAGTTGATGTGCACATTCATTATATTAAGGAGTAAAAGCTTATTGAGTTGAAAGATATTTACAAGTGTGGTTAGAAATATGAAATATAGCTAAAATCATGCGAACAAGCCCTTTAAATAAACTTATAAATTGATATATTTCCAAGGATCGCCAATTAAAGCGTTTCCGCGTATGTCCAATGTGACCCTTTTAATGTGTATCACTTTTAAATAACGAGCAAAAAAGCACAAATTTAGTTTATGTTTTTTCTTTATGGTGTTTTTATTTAAACAATATTTATTCAGATAAAGCATCACAGAATGATATAATACAATTGGAATTAATATTTAGGATTCAGAAACAAGCAAATTTGCTTTTACAAATCTGTCTCCTATGATGTTATTTAGATATTAATTAATTCACACTTCAACTATTTCTAAGATATAATCTTTACTTGGCTATTAATCTCCTTATTTTCATAAAGACAACAAAAATTGATAAAACGCAACCTGTTGTTATCCCCTGAAAATTTTGACGAAAGAACAACGTGAACATAAACGTTTACAACTGCATACCCGTGCGCATTGAACCATAGATAAATAAATTATTTTTTATTACAACATCAATGTGTTTTTGTTTTTGTTTGGGTTTTTTTTTTTTACATTTTCCTCGAATTCAAAAAAAACAGTTAATTTACAATATGACGTCAGATGCTGATGTCAGTGTACATGACGTTATTGGGTATGACAGGTATTAAACAATAATACTTGTTAGTTAAGTACCTGGTTATTTCTGACCATTGAAACCAAAATCCTCTTGAACAAAATTGCCAAAATCCATTGTGATCGTTTTATCTTATGAGGGAAAATAAAAATTTGGAAAATACAATATTTCCACGATTCGGATCCTATTATATATAGATGTATTCGTATACTAGCATCTAAAGATACATACTAATTATTTGCAGATTATGAATGCGTAGAAACAGATCATCTGATTGGTGGTTTCGCCTGTCCCGTAATAAGGAAGCAAAGGTAAATTAACGTGACTGTTAACAACAAATTTGAACATATTTGAACATTAAACTTCTACACATAACTAATATTATATTGTTATGATTATATGAAGACAATAATATTTGTTCCAAAACAAGTATATTTCTAAACTTCAAATGTTGATAAAAAAAACATGGTTACATGTAGTCCGCTGTTTACGATTCAAACCAGGGTTTTCGGTGTTCAAAACTATATTGACCCCGTCGCATGAGTTTCCCTGGTTTACTCTTATACCTCTCATTCAGTATAATTATAATTGAAACACTTTATCATTTAAAACTTCATTATTGGTATATAATTTTCTTTTTGTTTTGCAGGCTACCTGATATTTCTTTAAAGACTGAAAATGATATTACAAAAGTTGTGCACCGAGGTCAGTTAGCAAATACACGTTGTCTATATTTTCATTTTTTCCCTTCTTTAAGCTTTTGAATAGTGTTCATGTGGTGTTAAAGATTCATAGAACAGGCATATACACTGGATTTGCATACGACTAGAGTGTTTTCATCAATGTTGATCGCTTTAATACGTGCATTAATCATAATACCAGGCAAAAAAATCACGGACTGTTAGCATTATAAAAATAAGAAGATATAGTATAATTGCCAAAGAGACAAGTCCTCACCAGACATTGGGGTGTATGTAGATGAATAATTAATTGAAAGTACTAACACGTGCATATTGTTAAGCTAACACATGCATATTGTTCGTTTTGTTCCTCTTTTTTTTAAATCTCAAAATCTCAAAAGTATTATGGCGTTAATATTCATGGACTCTAAAAAGGAAAATTTTCAGTTAATTTTAATAATAAAAGAATTCGCTAACGCAAGTAAACATCGTTATCATATATACTCTTCACTTGAAATTCCATATTTTTTTGACATAATAATTGAAAATGGGCCGATAATATAAAAGAATACGCATACAGAAAGGACACCGCCAAATCGTTTACATTAAGATTAAAATTGTTTGGACGTGCAGCATTCAAAGGAAAGTCGTTTCCAATACCAAAATGTAACATAAAAATGAAAATTTAATTTCAGTGATGATTTTCATTGATTTATTAATATTAAAAACTTTTAATTTCTGTTCAAAACATTGAACATGTTTAATCACAATGTGTATGTTTCAGTTGCATTCTTTGAAGATGATATTAAAAAATGAGATTAACATAATATTGAATTATTGCTACTATTTTGTGTGAACATATTTTAGTCAGAAATTATGTGCAAAAGAATCGGACGAAAGTTTTGCAACTTACAAAGGACTTGTTCAGTTATTAAACGCATAAAAATACACACGCATCAGCAATAGAAATATAAAGAAATCTTCTAAATGTAAGAACAAACAAAATCAATTGTATGAACTAAAAATGAAGTGAATAATCATACCGAATGATTGAGTTGTCTACTGAAGTATATTTCAGAAAAAAAAAAGAAAAATGGCAATCAAAGTATCAAAAAATCAAACAGCAAAGCAAAAAAAAACAACAAGGAAACACAAGGATATTTACCATGGCCTCACACTGTACGAACAAAAATTGAATTCAAAAGATTGGTAACTGCACATACGTGTCATGTCTACATCATGATTGTCAATAGACATGTATAGTTTAAAATGTTTAAGGGTGCACCTTTCCTATGCAGAACGGTTGGTACGAAACATCTGTATATGATAAAAAAAAAAGATACATATCATGAGTGCTAAAACGACTGACATATCGATCTGTTTATTCTTCTAGAAGCATAAAGTTATATTCAGTTTCAGTTTACTGTGTATTGCTCCATGCTTAGTTTTCTGGATCTATTGTCTGCTTTTTAAAAATTTAGATTTTTCACATATTGAATGCTAGCAAAATCATGTCATGTTCTGTTGGTTAAACTTGTTTTTATGCCATGATTTATATCATTTTGCCTTTTCAGGAACTATACGTATACCAGAAAGAAAGAACATAGTTTTTTGTATTCCTTATTTGTAAGTAAAACCCGTTAGTGTTCCAATATTCAGTTTGATCAAATTTAAACGTACACATGTATTGATAAAAAAGATCGGTTGACATAATCGTATCTCAGCTATTCTGGGACGTATTCACAATGATGTTCTTTGGTGAATTGAGAAAAATAGAATATTAATATGTTCAATAAACTTTAAGTATAGATAATTTTGGCTTATTTTAATATCAAACTGTCAAGCCATTGAGTAAATACTTCAAATCAAAGACGTCATCATTCAATGTGACCGCCACTACATTAACATGTTGACCAACGTAGACATGTTTTTCCGTTTTTTTAGGTACGACTATTTAAAAAATGTAACTTTAAAATTAAATTAATATTTGATTATTTTTGTTCATATCAGCTCAGATACACGTATTTGTCTTAAATAAACGCAATTCGAATCTAAACTTTGATTGAATTATCACAACTTGTATTGTCATTGGCATTGTAGCACATTTCATTTCGTTTAAACTCTAGACACATATTGATGAAGTCAGAAAAATATCCAACTGTCAGCGAACGCATGATTATACAAAAGTGTAGACAGTCCATCAAAGAATCGAACACAAAAATAAAACGGAACTAAGCGTTTTAAATCTTATCAATTCGTTAAATAATTTGAAATAAATAATTATATGACACTGTCATGTATGTGTCACAAGAATACAGGAAGCGGTAGCAAAAGAGGAAACAGCATTTATATGGATTTATGGTCCCACTTTAAGAAAATTGCAGCCGTAATGCCTGAACACGCTATTAAGTTGATACAAGACTTTTAGTTATCAATTTTAAATGATTTAAGTATGAAATGAAAAAGAACATCAACAGGGATACCATAGATACGTGATTTCAATAATAATGAGTTCGTTGTTGGACTCCTTCATCTTTTTAGGATATCCTTAAAAAGTAATGCCCTGGAAAAATGTTGCTTCCATTTGTATAGAGATGTTTTATATATTGATATAACAGATAAGAGATTTGTGTTTTCGTTATAACATCAGTGTTAAAGAGTGAAAAAAGATATCAAAGGGACATTCAAACTCATTAACCGAAACTTACCGAAAATTCAATGGCATCAAAATGAAAAACGATCAAAAGTCAAACAACAGTATACAAAACACAACATAGAAATCCAAAGACTGAGCGACACAAATCCAAGCAAACATTGGGGTTAAATTAGTTATTAAATGCTTTTCAGGTAAATAGTGCTTACTATGATAGTTAACACCATTGCACATTGTTTGTTAAAATATTACTGTTAATGACTTCAAAATATAATGTGTATGGGACCAATACTTATTGCATATCAATGTACGATCAAAACAAACTCTTGTAACACCTATCTGAGGGATCCATTGAAGCTCTATTAGAAGGCTACCTTTCTGCCTCTAAGAAACACATCCTTATTTTGTAGTGGCATTCCAAAAATCCTGTTCTTGTGTCATGTCAATGTTCATTGCAGAACCTATCTACTGTATTAATTGTTTCAATAATCCCGTTCTAAATATTTGCCACGTTCAGCAAGCAACACTTATCAATCAATTAAAATGATTAATATATTTGTCTAGAATGTGTCTGATTAATAATTGATCAAAGCGTTATCAGTGGTTTAGGATATTAAAAATGAAAATTCTAATGCAATTATTTTTATCAATGGTTCTGATTGGATGACGGTACGCGTAAAATTCTCTATCTCCCTGTCTGTAACTAAGGAATCCGACATTTTGAATTCCGGAATGTGTTGTCATGTATTTTCTCCAATAATAACCGGTAGCTTTACGGTCGGAAATATCCATTTACCTGTCTCCGCTATGCCTCGCCAGGTAAACTCAATTTGCGATAGTAAAACTACCAATGGATGTCCGCAAAGCTTCAAATACAATGCAGTTATCTGTAAATTATTCTTGATTAATTTCAAATTACGTTTATGTAGTAATGAGTTCAAATGAAATAATACATTTTGTCTATCTTGCCAGTATAGATCTTTACTTGGAAACTTATTTTAATGACCATTTATTAATAGTGGCGTTCATTTCGCTGAACTAGTATACATTAGTGTTGAGGGGCCAATTTACGCCTGCCTCTTGGTGAGGGATATTCTCGTTACGTTGGCCACCCATTGTTGGCTTTAAGCTGTTTTCTACTCTTTTGTCGGGTTGTTGTCCCTTTGAAACATTCCCCGTTTTCATTCTTTATAATATCAATGAAAAAAATTAAACAAATGAAACAAATATAAAAAAAATTGCACCTCTTGTTCTTCGTATAAATGGATTTACTTTCACCCTCAGATTCACTGAAACAGTTCCTTTATTACTAATGAAAAAGTAAAATAACAAAAATACCGAACTCCAAGGGGTTAAAACGGAAAGTTCTTTATAAAATGGCAATATCAAAAGCTCAAACACATCTGACGAATGGAAAACAACTGTCATATTCATGACTTGGTACAGGCATTTCCTTATGTAGAAAATGGTGGATTAAACCTGATTTTATAGCTAGCTAAACCTCTCACTTTTATGACAGTCGCATAGAATTCCATTATATTGACAACAATGTGTGAGCAAAACAAACAGATATAATAGGTGAAACGTCAAAACTTGCGCTACAGCAGTCAACATTGTAATATAATTTTAATCACTATAAAAACACATATCTATTTCAACAAAGAAACCCAAAATTGCAAATAGACAAAGTACATAAGCAAACATGAAACACAAGAACTGAAAATTTACCATAGCACAATAACACAATGGCGAGATGTATAAGTACTGATCCACGTCATAATTATGTAACCAAAAATGGATAAATTGTAAGGTTAAAAATATCCATGGACAAATTGAATGAATTTACAATTATATTATATGAGTGGTCCCTATGCTTTGTTTTTAACCATAAAAACACAGAAAATATTGTAAAGAAATGTCAAAAACCAATTTCTAAATACATTTAATATTTTTTTTCATGTTAATAACATGTAATTTTTTTTTATTTCAGTTACAATAGTCGTGACTATAATTTTGATGTTTTGCGTTCAAATCGTTGGTTATTGTAGTAAGTTTTCATTTTATTTCATTATCTAAATGGCCATCTGTTTCAATTGAAAAAAAAAGTCATATTGGCTGAGGTTTACATATATACATGTTGACATTTGATCGACTTAATTTTTACTCCATATCAAACTCTTTATCTAGGCGAAATATAATTTTGAATAGTTAACGACAACCCTCGTCGAATACTTATTCATGTTATTTGAATCTATTGCATTTCCAAAAGTCTGTTTTATTAACCAATTTACAACATGAAATGGAACTTCATACTAAGCATTATTAGTTATCCGAATTTGATAACTTTGAACTCAATTTGAAAATACTAATAAAGAAAAAAACATAAACTTAAAAAAGATAAATTTTGTTAAATGAGTATCCGTCCATGGTTATGTGTGCATCAAGCGCCTGAGAATCCAGACTCATCAAAATGTCAGGATAGAACACAATAAATAAATTCACAGATCAGACGATTTTATATTCTCTATTTTAGGATATATGACACCACAAATATGTGTCCTTTGAGTTTAGACACCAGTACGTCATGTCGTATCAGTCAATTATGTCTTGACGCTAAAAAGTATTAATTTATTTGCTTCTTCTATAACTAAAATCAGTGACATAGTATTGTTGGTGGAGGAATATGGACTCTGCATTCATAGTTGGCTGTGCAAGATAACATATATTTGGATTTACTGAAGTCGACCTTAAACAGTGACATGGAATGATATTTTATAGCCAGATTTTGTATTTTCAGAACCACCAAAGAACTATGTTCTTCGATATAGTTTGATTAATGTTTGCATGGACTTATTTCTGTTGTCCACATATATAAAACTTCTTTAGTTCACTGATTTGGATAAAAAGAGAAGACTCTATTTAGTAAATGTCCACAGGGCCTGCATGTTGAGTCTATATATCCCAGTTGATTTCATAGTTCAGGTTTTGTATTCCTTACAAGAAGTCATGCTTTCGAATTTTGTACAGACGCCCTTATTAATAATTTCACACTTATAGAATGTCCGAAAAAAAAATAATCATGGATATGTTCCAATTATTTAAGCCACAATTTCCTTTTTCTCCTCTGAATTTGACATTACCAAAAGCGACTTATATCCGATTTTTTTTTTATTTACCATGACATGCATGAGCGTCGCTATACACACCAGAGAAGACGCAAATTACGCAAATGGCTATAAGAATCGAGTTTGATTAGGTTCTCAATAGATTTGTATTAGACTATTTGAATTTTTATATTTTATTCATTAAATATGTAAGAGGTAACTGTATTATATTTAAAGATTTGCGGACGTCCTTTTGCATTTTTACTTTCGCAAATTGAGTTTACCTGGCGACGCGTAGCAAATACAGGTAAATGGATATTTAAGAAAGTAAATCTACCAATGGACGTCCGAAAAGCGTTAAATACGATACATTTATCTCTATTCTAAAGCAAAATAAACAAATCATTTAATTTAAGTCATAATTTCGGTGTAAAATTCTCATTTAACGAAATTTCCGCGAAACTAGGTTAGTTCATATGTATTCTTCCTGTATCACACTAACACACCAAGCTTTTCTGCCTTCTTGTACGTCTCAAAATGTTATATAACTTGATAAAAAAAAGATTTCAAGTTAGGTCACCAACAGCGAGATAGAGTATTTTACTCTGATTGTCATCCAATCAGAACCGTGTATACAAAATAATTGCATTCGAATTATTTATAAAAGTCACGTTTGATATTATTGATAACTTTAATTTTTACTTCAAGAATTAATTAATTGAAACTGCAAATTGATAGTAAGCGCAATTGATATGGTGCGTAGCAAAGCTTATTACAACCACTAATTCCCGTATAACAGGAAATAAATCTTTTGGTGCAAGACAAGGATGTCAGTTGCAAATTATTTACAGACAATGAGAAAAAAATTCAAACGTTTTTACGATACCAACAATCATTACATTGAGATTTTATATCATATTATTTATTTATACAGAAGCTAACTTGTATACTGAGTATGTACTAGTATATGAACTGACGAATTTTTAAGAAGTGAACGCTAATGTGATTGCATTTTATAATAACACCTCCATGAGTAAGGGCAAAAACAGTTCACGGGGACTCGGTGCTTGAGTGGACTAAGTATTCATCTACTGTTTTATTTGTATTTTAAAACTGACGTTGTGCGTTCGAACCTAGCACTTGGTAGGTGCGTTCGACTTTATTCTTACAAGTCTTAATTGTCAGTTTTCCTGACGGAGGATGGTGGTTCTCTCTGGGCGCTCCTGTTTTTTTTCTGCGAATAAAAACTAACGGTATATAACCAATAGTGCCGACAGGTGACGTTATACACAAACAATCATTCCATCAATCAATATTTGAATTACGCAAAGAAGTCAAGTGTTATTGGAAAATGCTAATTAGTTATATGTAAAACACAAAATTGATGTATCAGAAAACACTCCATAAGCCCGGCAACCAACAACCGACTCATGTGGTAAAATAGACGTACACACAAAGACAAACAACAATATTAACAAGGAACAAAACATGCTCCAGACAGACCAGGTTGTTTGTTTAACCAATTGATCATGCTCACAATTATTAACGTTTTTTCAGCCGACCCGATTTTATTTGTCTGCGTCCTATCATATTCAATTTAAAAAGTAAGACACATCTGTTTAGTTTGAAACATCAATTTAAAACTTTTTAGGAAAGTTCGTAAGGATGAATAAAATCATCAAAGACCAAGTTGAAGACGGCATCCAGATATATATAAAGGGTATGTTATTGATATATGATTATACGTTTTATTGTTATATAACAAGTGCATGCATATCTTATTATCATTATGGTAGTATTATTTTTTATGAAGGAATGAAGGTTATTTAATCATTGTTGCTTTTCGTTGACTTAAAGACACTTATGTATTGTTCAATATACATTCAGTATAAATACATCCAACAAATGAGAATAAATATGAAAATATAATATTGGTACGGGTTTTTTTTCTTAAATATCGCGGTGTATCGTGGTTCAAAATATATTGCTGTTTATTTGTTTTCATTTCATTGCTGTTTAAGTCTGTATAACTTCAAAACAATGGTATAGTGCACTTTTTTATTGCTTCTTTATACCAAATATGACATACCTAATAGAACAACCCGTAATCGGATGGATATTAAAGCGAAAACATTTCAACGCGTATAAAAATGATAAATTGAAAAAAATACAGGGTTAGGGGGTGCCCGCCAACATGTTTACTAATAACCTTGCCACATTCTGTATGTGCCTGTTTCAAGTCAGGATCCTGTAATTTAGTTGTTGTCGTTTGTTGTTTTATATCAAATTCGTTTTTTGTTCATTGTTTTGTACATAATTCAGGCTGTAACGTTTCTCGTTGAATTGTTTTAAAGTTATCTTCGGGGCCTTTTATAGCTGACTATGCGGTATGGGTTTTGCTCATTGTTGAAGGCTATACGGTGAGCTATAGTTGTTAACTTCTTTGTCATTTGCTTTCGGTGGAGAGTTGTCTCATTGGCAATCATACCACGTCTTCTTATGTTTATATTTGATACAATTCGGAAGTTGCACAACCTTAATTTTTAGCAGAATCAGATAATTTCAACTTTCATACAAAAAACTGTTGTATCAAAATATCGTGACTGGATATGTGTCAGGTATGTATTGGAATAATTTGTTTTCTATATAAATGATTGTAAAGATAGACGTTTTTTTTTTTTCAATATGTTAAACAAAGTGTCAATTTTAAAGTACAATTGAATATTTTTCTGATTTTTTGTCAACAGAATATATGCAAAGACAACACACTGAGGACCTTTTACCTCCTGAATTAAAAGGTATATTCTACATTCACAAAATAACAAAAATTAAAATCGTCATGACCAAAACGGACATTGATAAATATTATAAAACATTGTACACAAAAGACTGTGGATTCATTATTATTCGTGGAATACCAATGTTCGTGGATTGATGAAAAATTGAATTTTCGTTGATTTTTGATTTCATGGTTTTGCCACATTCTGCATACAAGCCTATAGAAAATTTGCACGAAAATAAATGTATTCACAGTATCAGATATAAACATGATATAGAATAAGTAACAATATCAAATTACTGTTCATTTGCTGTATATCATGTATATAGGATTTCAAGTTAATGTTACTGTCATAATGTCAAATTCATGTACTAAACTATTTTTCATCACTTTAACAAGTTAATTTAACAAAAAAAACATAGTTTATCTATTATTAAAGTTCTCATCGAATGCAAATGTAGTAATCGACACAAACATCTGTTTATTCAAATATTCATACAGACAAACTATGAATGGGACTCATTCCTGAAATGTGTCACTGAAATAAGAATACACGTTAACATATTTAACGATAACTTCATTATGATACGTTTTATTCAAACTTCACACACAGTTACTAGTAATTATTTTTAACTGTTTAAAACACCACTGACAAAACTGATATTTCTCGGCATACCTGTCTGTGTCACGAATTTCTACGATTTTATTTCTCCAATCTCGGAATGGCAAACATAAATTATTCGTTTAATGGAAATCATGGAATTTTCAAATTCGTCTAAGTTCTCATGTCCTTCTATTTTTTTTTTTTCATTTGTCACTGTAGTCAAATTCTGTACGGTTGAAAAAAAAAAACCTTCTTATCATGTGACAAATAGCATGGATTTTTACCAGTTTTGATAGATTTCTGTGGTGCCTTTTTTATCAAATCATCTGTAAATTTTACACTTTTTCCCTCTTTAATTTTTACAAGACTATTGGTGTGGTACGTGTCTACTGTCTAACTTCCCTTGTTATTGTTATTAATAGGCACGTTTCCGGTTAAGGTATAACAAGTGTTTGAACTCTCCGAATTATCCCCTTTCTTTACCTCATCGAATTCAGTATCTGCATCTCCCAGTTATTTTAGCTTTCACTTATACAACGTTCATAATCATATAATTGAAATGAGTTAGAATCTTGTCATAGTTTCAATAGCTTATCGTCTTTCCCAGTAATTGATCTTGCTTTATGTTTGACACCTTTGTTTATCTGAGCGGCATTGTTTCTTGTCTGGCCAGATCAGTGATTTTAGACTTTTTATTTGTTCAATGTCATGTTGTATAGAATTACAGACAAATAAATAAACTTACTTTTCACAAATACATATTAACACCAATTCAGTGGCATACAGTGTTGTTCCTGTCATGTCGTATGACGTGACCACTTTATATAATCGAGAAATGTCCATCAATAACTGTCAGTATTAATAAAACATAAGTGTTTTAAAATACGATAAGTTCCGTATATTGATTAAATCGTTGTTTCATATACAAATGTACATGTTTCATATACATGTTTCATATACATCCATCACATCATTAAAATATTATACGATTTAGATTTGATATACCTTCTTCGACATTTATAAAAAGGAGTATGACAATATATATTTACAGGACCACTTTAAAAAAAAAGACGACTGTGTCGTCCATAGAAATTACAATTCATTTGAAAGCATTCCTGAATTTATACATTTTATTACTCATATTCTAACTGCATACACCATATAACATACATTATCCTATGTTCATTGGTATCAACATTACTTTATTGAAACGTGTCTATAATTATAAGTTTAATTTGCAAAATTGTTCGTCTTAAACATGCATAACAGAAAGTATAAATGACTCAATCGAAAATGTTCTAATATGTACAATTCAGAAAAACATGATCAACACATCGACAACTGGAGAAAAGACGAAGAAAAGTTTATTGAAACAGAAGCAAGTAAAAACGTTGAAGAACGACTCAGGAAAGATAAATGCGTTCTAGTAGTTGGTCGTTCCGGGAATGGTAAATCGTCAATTATCCGCCATCTAGCACTCAGTATCCAAGCTGAAATGTCTTATCAAATAATGCCAACAGTGAAATCTCCATCCGATATACTTGCATTTAATGATCAGAAAAGAAACCAAATATTCATTATAGATGATCTATTGGGAAAAGACATGATTAACGCGCAGGCTGTGGATGAGTGGTCTGCTGAAATAGATAAAGTTTTAATGTTATTGAATACTGATTCACGATGTAAAACTGAGAAGGAACCAGACGGCAATGTTAAATTTCTGTTTGCTACTGGTGTAGATTTTTATAATGATAGTATGTTCCATCGCCTTAATCCTATTAAAAAATATGCCTGCGACATTTCCAATTGGCCTTTGAATGACCAAGAAAAGCTTGCAATGATTAGGAATTATATTTCCCCGGAATCAGAATCAAAACTTACAAAAAAACTTAATTCGGACGAAGCGTATTTTCCATTATTATGTAAAATAGCTGAAGGAAGAACAGCAGAACATATTATCAGGTTATTTAGTAACCTTAATGATTTCATTAAGCAAGATCTGTTAGCCTTGAAAGAGACCAATCATCTGAAATTCTGTATTATAACCTTATGCGCGATATTAAATAACAACTTCGTAGAAGACTTACTTACTGATGGTTACGATTTTGACACCGAAAGAAAGATTTTTGAAAATATTTGCATGGAATTCAATTTAGGATCTCAAAAAGAACCAGTTAAAAATAAAATAAGAGAACAATTAAAGAACCTTGAAGGTATGTACTTGGCCAAAACAGAGAATTATTATCATTTTATTCACTCTAAAGTGTACCGTACCGCAGTTTTGGTATGTGGCCAGGCTTTTCTACATAATTTTATCAAATTCGGCCGAAGCTCATATATTGCCGAGAGATTTTGTTTTAAATCGAGTATTACAGACAGAAATCAAGATTCTGTTATTATAATAGATGATGAGAATACCGAAAAAAGATATTTCGACAGATTAATGGCAGATTTAGAACAAGGGGTTACATACAGTGCATTTCATAACAGTCAACTTCGGCATAAATCATACCGGGATAAATTTTGTTTGTATTGTCAAAACAGAAAACAGAAAGTTAGTGAACTTTTAAAACATTTTAATGCTTACAGTGAAACTCTAACGAAAAATGTTTCATTTGAAAATAAGGAAGATTATGAAGATTATATTGATTTTAAAAATCAACATCATTTTTCGTCACACAAAATGCGAAAACCATTAATAGAATCTGCATGGGAAGGATACGCTGACATTATTCAAATGTTATTGGATTCTGGTTGCAATATAAATGAAATTGACAAATTCGGAAGAACCGCGTTATTTGTTGCGTGTTTTTGCGGAAACGACGATGTAGTTGATGTATTGCTGCGAAATAATGCCAACCATTCGTTGTACGATCAAATTGGACAGTCTCCATTATTTGTAGCATCCAGAGAAGGATACCATAAAATAGTCCAGGTCCTTATACAGAAGTCCGCTGATCTGAATCTATGCAACGTAAATGGAGATTCACCATTACTGATAGCCTCATCTGAAGGTCACTTGTGGACTGTTCAAACGTTATTACGGGAAGTACAAGATTTTTCGAAGTGCAATAATCTAGGACAAACCCCAGTTTTTCTGGCATCTATGAATGGTAGAACCGATGTTTTGAAATACTTATTTTCATCGCATTTCAGTGAATATATTTCTAAATTTGACAATGAAGGCAGATCCCCTTTGTTTATTGCATGCATGGGAGGACACCATACAGTAGTTCAATTCCTTCTAGAGAATCATGCCGATATTTCACAGTGTGATTGGAGTAAACGGTCGCCATTATTTATTGCTTCTGCCGAAGGACATGCTAAAATAGTTAAATTATTAGTTCAGAACAATGCTAATATAAATCATTGCGACGAGGAAGGTATGACGCCATTATTTATCGCCGCTGAGAAAGGCCGAACAGAAATTGCCAGTTTTCTTATTGATAGCGGAGCCAATATAAATATAACGGATAATAAAAGGCGCAGCCCATTTTATGCAGCTTGTAGGAGAGGGTTTATAAGCATAGTTCAGTTGTTGCATGAACATAATGCCCGCACTTCCGATTGCAATAAATGGGGAGGTTCAGCCTTGTTTGCCGCATGCAGGGAGGGTCATGTCGATATTGCTAAATTTCTTATACATATAGGAGCTAACATTTCTACACCGGATTGTAACGGTACCACTCCATTGTTAGTAGCATGTGAAAATGGAAATACCGAAATAGTAAAGTTTTTAATAAACAGTGGTGCTAATGTTAATGATTGTGACAACGATAAAAAGACTCCTTTAAACGTAGTTATTGCTGGAGGATTTACTGATGTGAGAGAACTTTTGTTGAATAAAGGTGCGCTTTGACAATATATCCCTAGCAATGATAATAAAAAAAGAAATAAAATTTGTTTGCAGTATTGAACGTTAGACTAATTAATTGATCACTTGAATGTAAGCAAGATATATCAATTTATTGATTTATTGATTAATTGATTGTTGGTTAATATGCTGTCAGATCATCCATGCATCTTCACAATTACCATTCCCATGACAATTTGTTAAAATGATATCGAGCCAAAATGCCGTCTATACATGTATATATAATAAGGAGATGCAAGTGTCTCCCTACTTCTAAATACAATGGCCCAGCGATGGAGTTAATACCAATTTAACGTGTTTGAATATAATCAACGGTCTCTGACCACCGACCTCCAAAAATTGTAGCAAGAACATAAGCTGGTGTGACGATATGGTCAATCCAGAAAGCAGTTTCGGACGCACTAGCGGTTTTGCATCTGGCACAGCATGTTCCTTCATGTTTAATGACTTTTTGTAGCAAGGAAGCAGTTAATGCTATGTTGATGCGGTTTTAATACGATACAGCTAAAAGCGAGTAATATTTTTTTCAGAAATAGTTTTTATCTTATGTGCAAGAGCACTATCCTCATCTGTTTCAATACTGCTGAAATTTTAGTCAAATAATCCCAATCATGATCTTTAAGAAGCATATGTGTGTCACCTTTCTTTGTAATAGTTCTATCAAGCATTACACCGTAAGCACTTTACGTTGTTCACATAGTTGAATTCCATCGCTTTACAACTACTTGTACAAGTTCATTCTGTACACTCATTTGTGCTGTTTTCGTAGTGGAATGTTTGAAATGTCTCACTAACTTACAGGCGCGTGAAGTTACTTTGTACAGTAGTGGGTATTTCCAAGCATAGTTTGACAATGTTTGAGTCAAATATGAATGGTATTACTAAATCAATTCAAATCCTGAAAGTCATTTTTTTCTGATGCACAATTCATGACTCTTTGATTGCCATGTACAGAGTTCACAATACTACCGTCCAATTCAAACTCTGAAACTGTAGATTTTAGCCGTTCTGGAATATATATGCCAGTATGGCGTTCAGGCATTTCACGAGTAACGATAACATTTGACTGTAAAGTCTAGTCTGTTCTGTAACTGTTAAAAAACTTTTTGTAGCATTCGATGTCTTTGTATCAAAAGTAAGAGATAAGCTGTCAATCAAATTTAACTCTTTAAATCAAATTTTATTTTTGTAAACATGAGTTCTCTATTCTAGAGTATTTCTAGATGGAATGTAAAATTCTGGAGCTATTATTAACATAAGTTTTGAACATCCCTTTTCTTCAACAATACGAATGGGTAAGTAATCTCCAATACTACCATGATAGCTGCTATGGTATTTGTTATAACTTCAAATTGAGAAGATGAAAATCTTCTTGTTCTCCGCGTATTAACAAAATCTAAAACTAGCGATCTTTTCTCTTGAATGATTTAGCATATTACTCGTACCACCAGTATACACTAATTCCATTTTACAAAATTTTACATTTAACTATTTTTGAGTCAGTCGGTATAACGTTTAAACCAGATCACCCCCAGTTTTTGGTGGGGTTCGTGTTGCTTAGTCTTCAGTTTTCTATGTTGTGTCATCTGTACTATTATTTGTCTGTTTGTCTTTATTTTTGGCCATGGCGTTGTCAGTTTGTTTTCGATCTATGAGTTTGACTGTCCCTCTGGTATCTTTCGTCCCTCTATTAAAGAATAACGAAGCCTTGGATAATGGGGGTGGCATACATGTATTTACATGTTGGTACACACGACAAGAAATCAAAGTTAAGTAATGAACTAAATCGTAAAATTTAATCCGCTAACAACTGTTCAAAATATATGTATGCTAATTATGTAACAGTTATCCATGAGGACGCGATGTGTCAGTGTACGATCACTCCGATGGCCAGAGGCCGAAGGCGATCTTACACTGACACACCAAGTCCGAATGGGGTAACTATTTTACATCCCAGCTGTTCTACATTATATATATAAAACATTTACGCTCCATAAAACCTAGTTTTGAACGCCACACAATCATTATAATTTTAATAATATTCTTTTTATATTACTATATAGTATATTAGTATAAAGTGTATTACTATATAGCATATACCCTTTATGAGCCCCGGACACACTGTTTGGATATGTTAAATTAACAGATAGTTTACTTCTAGTCGTCCTGGTGTAGGGGTATGAACCTTGGATTTATATGCTTAAGGTCTTGAGTTCGATTCCCAGCAAAGACTAGATTTTTTCTACATAAATGTTGATAGTTAGCCTTTTCCGTAATAGTTATACACGGAGGCCGATGTGGTTTCTTATCCAGGCACACGGAGCAGTATCCCGAAGTGTATAACTAACTTACATCCGATGATAAACCCTATATTTGTTTACATTGAATATTAAATGAAAAAGAACGGATATCATTTTTATTAACAATATCAAACCATGATTAATAAGATTTTTTTTTAAATGAAACCCCACTAGTAACCTTACTTTGACGATCTTCATTCAAAAGTGAGTAGATTATACAAATGTCAAAGTTGCCGTGTTGTATATTCCCGTCATATCCAAGTGCTAATATGGATCAGCAGGTCAAGGTTGGCCGTATCGTGCATTCTTATTACAAAAAAAAGTATACCATGCTCCTTGTATGCAGTTGTCAATATGGACGGGTATAAGACGGACGACATTTTGAGTCAGGCGTTGGATTTGGCAGAAGAGACTGAAGATAACGCAATATTTATAACCCAAAGAACTTACAAGTTTAATGAAGGTAATCATAAATGTATTTTACATGTAACGGTTTTATAAAAAAAAAAAGCCCCCCCCCCCCCCCCCCACCCTCTTCTCAACATTAACAAACATTCATATTCGAACATTCTGAGGGATAGGTGTGTCTGGAATAGAAACCCGACGACCAGAAACGCTTAACATACGAAAATACAAATTGCATATGCAAGAACCCTTTTGGGGGGCAATCCAAAAGGAGGGGGGTGTTCCGGGGGTTGGAACCCCCTTTTTTTACGATCAATGCTTTTGAACGGGGACATATGGCTAGAACCCATCCCCCCCTTTTTTTATCCTGGGTTGGCACCCCCTTTTAAATATGGCTGGATCCGCCCCTCGGTGCCATCATTAGTCTTCAACAATCCAAACAAGACTTAGTCCATATGAAAACTATGTTTTTTTTAAATGTATGATTCAAATAAAAGTTCTTTACATATATGTTCATTAAGACATTGCCATATGGGATTAAAATTGTAGCTTAAAGCAAAGGAGTTTTTAAATGATTTTTTTATTCAAAAAAGATGCTAAATATTTTTTTCGCTATTGGAATTTCCTGAAATATGTTTTTTTTAATATGTCTTGAAACAACTTGTAGGGAACACTATTAGTAATCTCTTTATGTTCATGCTATCAAAAAAAAAACAATTTTTATTATCATGAATAACAATGGACTATATTTTCGGGATGTAGAAACAGGGGTTTCTAGAACCCCGCTCGTCACACCCTGTGGTCAAAATCCATTGTTATTCGTAACAAATGATAGATCTATTAAATTTACACTTATTCCAGAAATAGAAACTATGAAGTATGTCAATAGAACTGGGGTGTAAATATAAATATTTCTAAGTTTTATTGTCACGGAATTTAACATTGTCGCTATTTGTTACAGAACAAAGGAAAGCATGCATTTATAACAGGGTTTTTCGTCGTTCCTGTTATATTTAGAATTCTGGGGGAAAGTCACTGTCTAAAGTCAACAAAACTAAGTTAAGCTTTACGATGGTTTATATATAACTTCTCCAATAGTGCAATACATTAATTACAATAATAGATCAACGGTAATATTCCAAAAATATAAAACAAATGGTAATGCCAATAAATGTTTTATACTAAACACAATGAAGATTCAATATTTTTCAGATTCAATATTTTATTTAAGTCTCACCACATACAATTACATATATTTACACAATAAAATATTCATACAGGTACATAAAACATACATGTATAACAACAAACTTTAAATTCATATAGTATGTGCCAATCTTAAAGGATTTATGAGAGACTGTACAAGCAATACTGTTAAAAAACAATTAGATATTGTACATATTATATATAATATATATTTGCTTATGAATATCATTAAAATACAGCATAATCAATTATATAAAAAACCATTTCTTCTAATTAAAATGCTATAGCAGGTTCTGGTAACACTTTCAAAAACTTTATCATTATTGAATAAAAAGATTAACTTTTTATTATCTGATAAAATGTTAAAATCCACATTGAAATTTGTAACTTCATAAAACAATATATGTCTAAGATCTTCATATAGTGGACATTTCAATAAAACATGTAGTTCATCTTCAATACTATTATTACAATAAAAACATGTTCGTTCGTGTATTTTTTTCTTTCATATCTACCCGTTTCTATTCTAAGGGGAGCAACTCCACATCTAAATTTAGCAAAAGAACTCCTAAATTTAAGAAGTGGCATTTTACATTTTAAGTAAGGTTCAGTACAATAATCATATTTAAATAGCTTATAAGTTCTTAATTTATTACCTTGTGCGTACGCAGATACTCTATTACTCCAATCTATTTTATATTTATCAAACATTATTGTTTCAAATTGTACAATAATATTCTTATTTAATACATTAGTTTCATAGTTACAATAGCTATCAAAATTATGATTTTTAAACATTTCCATAACTCTATGGCTCCAATTCTTAATTCTACCTCTAGCTTTTTTAATTGACCATTTGAAAACCTTAAACTTTATTCTATCATGAGTCATATTTGAAATGAATGTCACTGTAAATGCACGGCGTCCGTACAGCTTGACCGCTGGTATCCAACTGACCATTTACATAGAAACGATCTAATATGAATTACGTAATCTTACTTAATTATAACTACATGTAATAATGAAGTTTGTCACTTAATGATTCGAACAAATAATACAATTTAGCACATACATACAACTTCTCGTCCAATCAAATTGCTTATATTTGCCTTCTAATTTTCATAGTACATAC